AGCTGGGTGTGGTGGCACGTGCCTGTAGTCCCAGCTATTTGGGAGGCTGAGGCAGAAGAATCACTTGACCTCAGGAGGCAGAGGCTGCAGTGAGCCGAGATCGCACCACTGCACTCCAGCCTGGGCGACAGAGCGAGACACTGTCTCAAAAAACAAAAAAACAAAAAAACAAAACAAACAAACAAAAAAAACCCTCTTTTTGGGATTTTATTCACAGCCCCCAATGGCAGCCACCTATCACTCAGGCGCCAGGTCTGTCCAAGGGCTGTGGGGCCAGGATCAAAGATTGTTAAGTAACACAGCATGAAGCCTGAGGCACTAACATAGAAATCAACCCTCTCCTCTGCCCTTCGGCACTGGAACTGAACCAAACCTGACCACCTCATTTGTTTCTTTTAAGTTTTATTTTAGGTTCAGGGGTACATACTTAGGTTTGTTATATAGGTACATTGTGTGTCATGGGGGGTTTGGTGTATAGATTATTTCATCACCCAGGTAATAATCACAGTACCTGATGGGTAGTTTTTTGTTTTGTCTTGTTTTGATTTTTTTTTTTTTTTTTTTTTTTTGAGACAAAGTCTCACTCTGTCACCCAGGCTGGCATGCAGTGGTGTGATCTTGGCTCATTGCAACTTCCACCTCCTGGGTTCAAGTGATTCTCATGCCTCAGCCTCCCAAGTAGCTGGGACTATAGGCACGTGCCACCATGTCCAGCTAATTTTTGCAATTTTAGTACAGACGGGGTTTCACCATGTTGCCCAGGCTGGTCTCGAACTCCTGACCTCAGATGATCTGCCCACCTCAGCCTCCCAAAGTGCTAGGATTATAGGCATGAGCCACCGCACAAGGCCTGATATGTAGTTTTTTGACCCTCACTCTCCTCCCACCCTCCACCCTCAAGTAGGTCCCAGTATCTGCTATCCCCATCTCTGTGTCCATATGTACTCAATCTTCAGTTCCCACTTATAAGTGAGAACATGAAGTATTTGGTTTTCATAATGCTGGAACTTTTAAGATATATTTGTGATTCACCATATTTATACATTTAACTCACTGGATTTTCAAGAGTTCTTTAAGTAATTAGGAATGCCTATTTGCTAGATAACTGGAGTACTTACAAAGAATATAAATTACATTTTATTTTATAAAAGCCAATATTAACAAAATTTGTAAATAAGTTCACATATTAATCAAAGGCCCTTTAAATGGCATTGTTAAAATTTATGCCACTTATAAAGAGAATAAGATTTGTTAATTAAAATTAAGATTAAGGAAAAACTAAGTTTATGTTTAAAAATCATATATTAATGTAAAAAAATCAAAATAGATCATCTCTCTCCTGTACTCCAAACTCTCAGCAGACTCTGAGAGGCAAGATAGCTTGCACATGGGTTCAGAGGGCTTAAATATGTAGATAATCCAGACAACACTTTTTAAAACTTTATTATCACAATGAAACACTCGTTTTAAAAAATTATTGGACAGAACTCATGAAAATATGTGTGTGGACCAGCTTGAGAACATTTCACTAATTAAGAGTGTGGGCCAGGTGCGGTGGCTCACGCCTGTCATCCCAGCACTTTGGAAGTCCCCATTTTTAACTAGTGCTATAATGCCTCACAGAGAGCCTAGATTCATGTTTCAAATCACTTGGGAAATACTGCAGAGAACAAAACAAACAGAAAAGATCAACACAATATTTCTAAGTGTTGCTAACTTATTTGACTTTCTCACTGCATAATTTCATTCAATGGATACTCACTGTGCCTCTGTGACATGTCCTGTGCTAGAATAGTAAAATGAAGGCACGCGGTTCCCATCTCCAGTGACTGCACAGTTCCCAATGAGACTGTTTCCTAGGAAACGTGACATTCTGGAGCAAGACACAGGCTCCTCCCTGCTGGGCAGCAGCTTAAATACTGAATAGTTCACTAGTCAGTATGATTCTATTCAAAATCTGTTCCTGACTAATCCTAGGAGGCCAGTCATTCTCTCTCTGCCTTGGAGTTTTAGTGAGTCAGAACACCTCCTCTGCATCTGGGAAGGCAGCCAAACTTTGAATCAAAACCTTCCCAGGCTTCTTAGTCTGCCACCAATTTAAGGAAATCCCAAACATGAAAAGTTCCAGCTTACAAAACAGATATATTAGGCATCAAGAGGATTCGCTCTGTCTCACAGATTCCCCCAAAGATTGCTTTCAGCAATGAGTGTCCCTTGGGCATTTAAATTCTGATTCTTTCTACACCTGAAATTCAGTTCCTATGAAACAGGAAGAGACCTGTTATGTAGTGGGAAGTGAACTTGTGGTCCTTTGTACTTACCATCTGCAACAGTCTCATGAGCCTTGGCAATCTGCCCTAGCTCCTGTATCAAGCCCTGGAAGCAGTCCTTACAGAGCAAATGCTGGCAGGATAGGAGACGAGGGCCCACACCTGGCAGGTCGTGAGGGCACAATGACCAGGTCATTACCACAGCCTCAATCTGTCCACTCTTAGGGCAGGGTTTCTGGCCAACTAATGGCAGCCCCATAAAGCTCATGCCCATGTCCACAGCCATGCCTATGCCCAGAACCAGGGCTTTTCCACTGATATGCTAAGGTGAGAAGCAGCGTGTAGAGCGAGCCAGCTCCACTCCCTGTAAGTGAAGCACAAAGCAGAGTGATCTATTTCTTTTGGGCAGAAAAAAATCTTGTACAGGCCAGAGGGGCCTCGGAGAACAAGGCCTCAAAAGTCCAGGCCATGTTCCTCCCCAGAGCTGGAGGCTCATGCCTCAGCCACAGTTCCTCACCTGGGACCAAAAAGAGAGTCCAGCCATCTCTGCCGTGGAAAACAAAGTCTGGAGGTGTCTGCTTTTGTTTGAAGGCAAACAAACCCTTCAAAAGTGTCCCAGACCTGTGCCTCTCCTTATTGGTAGGCAAGCTTGACCTAAGTTTTAATTTTGGAAAAAGGAAGAAAACTGCATTATTGACAAGTTTATGACAGGCACTTTACATACTGTATTTCAAAGGGGTTAAGACACTTTTACAAATTAAATAAAACCAAGAGGGACAGGCTGAGGAAAGAGGCTTAGAGAGGTTGGGTCACGCACAAAAACAGATGGCAAATGGCAGAGTCCAAATTCAAATCCAAGTCAGTCTGTTTCGGGACTCCAGCCTTTTTTTTTTTTTTTTTGAGACAGGGTCTCACTCTGTGGCCCAGGCTAGAGTGCAGTGGCACAGTCACAGCTCACTGCAGCCTTGACTTCCCCAGGCTCAAGTGATCCTCCCACTTCATCCCACCTCAGACTCACAGGTAACTGGGATGACAGGTGCATGCCACCACACGTGGCTAATTTTTTGTATTTTTAGTAGACAGAGTTTCACCACGTTGCCCAGGCTGGTCTCAAACTCCTGGACTCAAGTGATCTGCCTGCCTTGGCCTCCCAAAGTGCTGGAATTACAAGTGTGAGCCACCACACTTGGCCCATGCTCTTAATTAGTGAAATGTTCTCAAGCTGAGGTCCACACACATATTTTCATGAGTTCTGTCCTCTAATTTTTTAAAACGAGTGTTTCATTGTGATAATAAAGTTTTAAAAAGTATAGTCTGGATTATTTACATATCTACCACAATATGATTTTGGGGGTAGTGTTAAGAGCCTAGGATCTAGTACACACCAGGCAGTTTTACTTGTCTCAGGTTAATGAGCTGAGAGAGGAGCAGACTTAATACACAAATAATGTATTCTTGCCACTTGAAGTCTAAACGACATTGTGGCACAAAATGATGCATGTTTTACAGTGCTTGGAACAGAGAAAGGAAGTGAGAAAATTGAGCCATCATCATTGTGGCATATGTTTGCTGAACTTAGCTACAAGAGTGAGCACCACGTTTAAGTCTTAATGATAGTTTACTTTAGAAAAACATCAAGTACATGTGAAATTAATATTATTAATTTGATGACTTTATAGTTTTTTATAATTTATAAACTGTATTCAGTTTTATAGTTGTATAAAAACTAAAGGCCAAAGGAAGTTGTACCTAGTTTTATATTTGTACTTATTTAAGAAACAAAATACAAATCATTTAATTCAAATCTGGGTCTCGGTAATTATGCAAGTTTGAGAAAAATTTCACCCCAGTTTAGGAGACAAGCCTTCAGGAAGGAGGAAGGGTGATGGGGCTGGGAGAGGCCAGGTTGCCTGGGGTCCAGAAAGATGCCGCTACATAAAGCCATAGATAGATGTGCACTTCTAATTCCTTCTGGGAATTATTTAGCAGAAAACAGCCATAGCAGCAGCATGATTAGAGACAAGGACAGTCTCTATTAGAAGTTCAAGTATGCCTGAGTTTCTTTCATTGGGCCGGTAGTTCTCAAACTTTTTGGTCTTGGGAACCCCTTTACGTATGTTTACTTATTGAAGACTCCAAAGAGAGTTTATTTATGTGAGTTATATCTATTGCTATTTACCACATTAGAAGTTAAAGCTGAGAAAATTTTAAAACACTAATTTTCATAACATAATAAACCTGCTATATGTTAACACAAATAACATACTTTATAGGAAAAAATAACTATTTCTTTTTTTTTCCTTTTATTTATTTATATATTTATTTTTTAAGACAGGGTTTTGCTCTGTTGCCTAGGCTGGAGGGCAGTCGTGCGAAGTTCACTGCAGCCTCAAACTTCTGAGCTCAAGCAAACTTCTTGCTTCAGCCTCCTAGGCAGCTAGCACTGCAGGCATGTGCCACCACACCCAACTATTTTATTTTTATTTTTATTTTTGTAGAGACCAGGTCTTGCTATGTAGCCCAAGCTGGTCTCAAACTCCTGGCCTCAAGTGATCCTCCACATTGGCCTCCCAAAGTGCTGGGATTATAGGCGTGAGCAAGCTGCACCCAGCCTAAAACAAAATTAACTTCTTTCATAAAAATTAATTTAATGAGAAGAGTCACACTGTTTCTCATATGCGCCAAACTCTTTAACATCTGGCTTAATAGAAGACAGCTGGATTCCCATACCTGCTTCTGCAGTCAATCTGTTATATGTTCTTTTGTTTATAGTATATGAGGAAAATCCAGTCTCACACAGACATATAGCTGGAAAAGATAGGAGTACTTTAATAGCCTTATCAGGTAATTGTGGATATTCTTTGATACCACACCAAAATTCAACAAGTGGTAGTAGTTTCTTAAATGTTATTTATAACGTAGACTCTGAACCAAACTTTTCTATTTCTGTTATATTAAAATCTGCTGATCTTGCTCTTTGAACTACTCTTTTCCCCAGGCATAATTTTTTAACACCAAGCATTGGTCATTTGGAAAATACCAGTTCAATGACTTAAGCAGATGTTCCAAATATCGACACATTTCATTACACAATAACAAAAAAATCACATTCTTTAGAATCACCTCTAATCTCATCAGAAATTTCTTTAAGTATTGAGAAGCTGCCAAACTCAGGGAGGCACCAAAAACTGTACCAGAATTCTAACTTGTGCTTGAACGCTTGAATTTTATCATTGGCAACAAATACTGTCATTTCACTTTTGAGAAAATATCTGACAAATTCCCATGTCTGATTAACCACAGTTTGTCTGCCAGTTATTGTTTTTTGTTGTTGTTGTTGTTGTTGTTGTTGTTGTTGTTTTGAGATAGAGTTTTGCTCTTGTTGCCATGGCTGGAGTGTGCAGTGGCATGATTTTGGCTCACTGCAACCTCCGCCTCCCAGGTTCAAGTGATTCTCCTGCGTCAGCCTCCCAAGCAGCTGGGATTACAAGCATGCACTGCCACACCCTGCTAATTTTGCATTTTTAGTAGAGACATGATTTCTCCATGTTGGTCAGGTTGATCTTGAACTCCCAACCTCAGGTGATCTACCCGCCTTGGTCTCCCAAAGTGCTGGGATTATAGGCATGAGCCACCGTGCCCCGCCTGCCAGTTGTCCTTTCGTGTAATACTGATGTTTCATTTTTTATTTTTATTTATTTATTTATTTATTTATTAGATGGAGTCTCGCCCTGTCATCAGGCTGGAGTGCAGTGGTGTGATCTTGGTTCACTGCAACCTCCGACTCCCTGGTTCAAGTGATTCTCCTGCCTCAGCCTCCTAAGTAGCTAGGATTACAGGCATACACCACCACGCCCAGGTAATTTCTGTATTTTTAGTAGAGACGGGGTTTTACCATGTTGGCCAGGATGGTCTCGATCTCCAGACCTCGTGATTCACCTGCCTCGGCCTCCCAAAGATTACAGGTGTCAGCCACCACACCTGTCTGTGATGTTTCATTTTTTAAAAGGCTAGTTTAACTTGCAACTCAATAGCACAAGCACAGTTTCTCACTTTGATATGTAGCAGGAACACTTTTTCTTCACACAGAATATCAAAAAGAAATCTAAAAAAGTACTTCAGAATTTAAGATTGAGATTTAATAAAAATTGTTACCACTTCATCATTGATGGACATTCTTCAGGTAAACTCTCTTCCTCTTCCTCTTCCTCTTCCTCCTCCTTCTTCTACTACTACTACTACTACTACTACTACTACTACTACTACTACTACTACTACCGGCAGATGCCTAGTGGTAAAGAATATAATGTTTTGTTCCAGTTCGGTGCCCAAAACATCAGCAGTTTTATACAACATTGCTTTGGCATCAGTGCAAATGTCAACCAGTGAAAAGATCAAATAACACGTTAGCTTTATTATTAAAATTGTTTTGACCTGTGGACCCCCTGAAATGATTTCAGGGACCCCCGACCCCATAGGGTCTACAGATCACACTTTGAGAACTACTGCATTAGACCTTGCATCACAATCCTGGGAATTCAGGGAGGTATCATGGCTTTCCACCATGAGCAAGTACTACACAGGGTAAGAATATAAAGAAGCAAGCATCTCATTTATGTCTTAGAAAGCCATTGAAGTTACTCCACGAAAGTAAAAGTTTAATTTAAAGGCACATCCACGCAATGAGTTTCTGATTTGAGAAGAGGAAGGGTCAAATGACCCCATTTCTGCCCCCTTTCTGTGGCTGCTTTCATCATAAATTAGTTCTTCCCTCTCCTTCTTATCTCCCCTGACCTAGAAGAGTGGAGGGGACAGAGTTTGGAAGACTATACTTACACCAAGATAGTAAATTCAAATGCCTACAGGGGCTGGGCAATCTATATGAATAAAGTGCTTTACTTAAAAGAATGTGGGTCTAGTGTCTCCAAATCTTAGTTTTCCAAAACCCCAGAAATTCTTATTTTTATTTAAATTTTAAAATGTTGGTAAAAAGTTAAATTTTAAGACATTACCTTGCCACAAACCACCTCCTTTTAACATCTTACCACATCTGTATTTAAGAAAAGGAAAATATTGACTGGAGTACCCTAAGCTTGCCAAGGAATGACGGAACAAGTCATTCCACATCACACTGGCAATAAGAATTTCAAAGATAGTTTGCATGAGGGGTACAGAACAAATTATCATAAAAATAACACTTATTTTAGGGAGAAAGAGTAGGTAATGAGAGTACCTACTCTTTGCTAGGCTGTGTTATATATGATACATTATTTGTTTGCTTGTTTAATGTATGTCTTAGACATAGTCTTAGGGAAGGACTTTTGCCCTTCCCTATTCACAATTGTACCTGCCCTTCACTTGCCTGACACCTAGTGCAGGAACACAGTATACACTCAATTAATATTTATAAAATGAATGAATTAATCTCATCATTTTTTCCTTATACAGACAAGAAAACAGATTCAAAGAGAATATGCTATTTGTTCAATACAATTCAGTTAGTAAAAACAGAACTAGGAGACTGGGTGTGATGGTCACGCCTGTAATCCCAGTGCTTTGGGAGGTCGAGGTAGGAGGGCTGCTTGAGGCTAGCAGTTTGAGACCAGCCTGGGCCACATACAAGACCCTATCTTTAAAAACAACAACAACAACAACAACAACAAAAACAGAACTAGGCAATGAACCCAAGTTTCTGTGTTCTTTCCATTAATTTTATCCTCTGAAATTAAATGAAAACCCAAATACGTAACTTCTTTTTTCTGCTATTGTATAAACTGTTCTCAAAGACTCTAGAATTTCTCTTTTCATGTTTTGTTACTCTGAGTTTAATGGCAGCACGGTTTTCCACCCTAGTTTCCAACAAAGCTTTAGGAATATAATTGCCATGTAGAACAATCTATCCAACACTGGATAGACAGACTCCTAAAAATCCCTAATCTTCCAATTAGATTATTTTTACTTTGTGCTGAAGAAAACCCCGCCTGATCTTATGGATTTCCCCTAAATGCCATATATCAAAAACTACTGATAAAGGCAAACAAAAACCCCCAAGGCTAGGGAGGTTAAAATGAAACTGGAAACTACATATTGCTGGTGAATAAATTGGCACAATCCTTTTGGAAAAAATATATAGTAACATAAAATGAATCACAAAAATGTTCACACCATATAATCCAGCAGTCTCACTCCTGGGAATTTATCCTAGACAAGTTATTCAACAGGAGAAGAAAATATTATATACAAATGCTCATTCCATCATTGTCTCTAACAGCAAAGAATACAGTAAGATTTTTTTTAAAAAACAAAACACACAAGAAAGTGGCTTAATAAATGGTAGTATATGCTGAAAATAAATTACTCTTCAGCTGTTAAAAATAACCATGAAGACTGGCTAGTGATACGAAAAACTGCCATGGTATTAAATAAAAAGCAGAATACAAAAGGATTTGTATACTATGATCATCAGCTTTGCAGACAGCTATGTCTCCACGTATACAAGGGTTGAAAGGTAATACTCAGAAAACAGCACCATAGGGTGGAATGATTTGAGTTGCTTATACTTAAATTTTTTTCAGAATTTTTTTTACTGTTGTACTATCTATTATGTATACTTTTTCAAGTCTTTCTGAAATAAATTGGGATTTCTGAGTTTTTCTCTAATTCTCACTTGGAAAAAAAGCAGAAACACTGCTTCTTCCCATCTTGATTAACAGTGCTCTACTTAAAAAAGAAAACAAACATAGTATTTCCAAATGTCCATATCTAAAGATGGAGAGCAAGAAAACAGAGCTGGATCCATCCAGGATGTTGCTGCTATCTGAAGGACTGATGTCGAATTCAGGAACCCAGCAAAGAGAGAAAGGAAGAGGGATCACCAGGGCCTTCTTCAGGGTGATGATGTGTTCCCAAGGCCACCTGGAGAGAGGCCCAGCGCAGCAAAAAATCAGCACACTTGCCTGCTTCACCAGGATGCTGCCTGGTATCATCTCTTCCATTCATTTCAGAGGTATTTTCTGAGGCCCTCACACTCTGAGGAAGCCCAGATGCCTGAGATGTCACAAAGCTATGCTGTACTTCAGAAGAGATGTCACAGAGAAGGACACCTCTCAGGAGTCATGGCCAAAGGTCATGTCCCATGTGCCTAGTTGGGAGGGACAGGTCCCCTAATGCCAAATATCTGGCTGCTACTCCACTTTGCAGACAGAGAACTCAGCTTTGTCTGCTCTCTCAGACCTCTGTCCACCTAGGAAAAGTGACACACACTGAACAAACCCCACATGAGTTGTGTGTTTAAGTCATGTGGTTGCCTTTTGAAGGAGAGGGAGCTGGATAGAAAACTGGATAGAGCCAGATAACTACCCAGGGTACTCCCTCTACAACCAGATCAAACCATTGATAAGAAGAATGTTAGGTGAGCACAGAACCCAACGGGGAGTGCTGGGTCCACTCTGGGAGGTCTTCTGTTCAGCCGGGTGGCCTGAGGGACAGGATGTAGCTCCTCCATAACCAAGGAACCTGGCGAACTATCCAGGAGGAGCACCTAGAACCCTACCCCAACTCCTTGTAGTGGTGGTCCTCATTGCAGGCCCCAGCTCTAATACCCCTGATGGTTCCCTTCCATTCCCAAGGCTCTGCCCAGCTTACCTGCATTGACAGATCATCTTCCCAAGGTTAGGTTCCAGGTAACCCAGCTCATTTCTTGTGCACTTACTGGCCAGTTTTGATGTCAAATAGAGGATGATCTCTTCTTTGATCTCACCTCCTACTCTCAAGACCCCTTTCCTACTGGTCACATGCAGTATGTGATTAAGGTTGATGGAGGGATGAAGACCATAATGCTGTGAGGTCAGAGAGGGACTGGTCACTGAGGTAAAAGCAGGAGATCTGGAGAGAGAAGACTAAAGGCTACGCCCAGGCTCTGTAGCTGACCACCTATGCAGCGTCTGACAAGTCACCCAATTCTTCTGTGCTTCAGTTTTCACATGCATAAAATGAGGCTGGTAGTGCTGTGCCTTCAGGCAGATGCATTTTGTAAACTGCCAAGTGCTCTGAAAATGTTGGTTGTTATCCTTGTAGACTGAAGTGTTCTGGGAAGAAACAGAATATAAGGTGGACCTTAAAGGTTGAGGAAGATTCAGGACACATGGTCAGGAAGAGGATAGGCACTCCGGGATGGGAAACAGCATGAGCAAAGGCAAAAATGCAGATGGGATATACCAAACATGGCTGCAGTAGAAAGCTTGTGTAAGGGAGAGGCTGAGGTAAGGTTGGAAAGGCAAGTGGGCTATATTCTGTTGGTCATAAGGAGCTATTGAACTTTTTGATCAAGTAAGTAAAAGAATGGAAGTCATGTTTTTGGAATACTAACCTGGTGGAGATGTGAAGGATACAGAGATTGGAGGAGGGTTAGAAGGCAGGCAGAGTGAACAAAGGAAGGTGTTGTAAACTCCAGATAAGAGATATGATGCGGGCCTGAATGAAGGCAGGGGCACTAAGGCTTAAACAGAGGAAGCACATTGGAGAGATAGAACAGAAACAAAAGGATAGGGTGACAGTGCAGCAGAAGAAGAGAAGGTTTGGGGACAATTTTCATTATCTAGGTGGACAATGGTGCTACTCACCAAGACAGAGAATAAAGGAGAAGGCACCAGTGAGCAGTGAAGATTGAGTTCTTTGGATATGTTTACTTTGTCTGTAGAATGTCCAAGGAATAGTAACCAGTAATTAAGTGACCATATGGATGTGGAGCTCAGCAATAAGGATGTGAATTGAAGCCACCCAAGAAGACCATATACTGTGAAAACATAAGGACAAGGACAGAAGGCTGAGGAACATCAACATTTAAATGGTGGACAACGCTGGAAGAATCTGAAAAGAAGACTGAGAAGTAACCAAAGAGCAGGAGGAAGGCAAGACTTTCTCTAGAAAAAGACGTCAACAGATTAAAGTACAACAGAAAGAACAAGTGGTATCAAGAATAGGAAGAGTCCAATTTGGCAATTGGTTCATTAATGGCATTAGAAAAAGCAATTTCATTGCAGTCACAGGCTGTGAGCTAGATTGCAGAGAACAATGGATGGGAAGGTGCAAATGGGCAGGATTTGTAGACTACTCTTTTGGGGAGCTTGGCTGTAAAGGAAAGGGCAAGGACATGGGAGAATTTTGGATTTTTTTTTTTTTTTGAGATCGAGTCTGGCTCTGTCGCCCAGGCTGGAGTGCAGTGGCGTGATCTCGGCTCACTGCAAGCTCCACCTTCCCGGTTCACGCCATTCTCCTGCCTCAGCCTCCCGAGTAGCTGGGACTACAGGCACCCGCCACCTCCCCCGGCTAATTTTTTGTATTTTCAGTACAGACGGGGTTTCACCGTGTTAGTCAGGATGGTCTCGATCTCCTGACCTCGTAATCCGCCCGCGTTGGCCTTCCAAAGTGCTGGGATTACAGGCGTGAGCCACCGCGCCCGGCCAGAATTTTGTATATTTTTATATTTTAGCTGAAGGGGGCAAGAGAAATATAAATAAATACACACTCACGCTCACACATACACACAGGGAATAACTGAGGGGATGGGATTTTAAAAATTTATTTCATTTTTCCCATGGGATCTATTAATAGACTAGCGAGGGGATGGGATCTTGAACACTGGCTGAAGTAACCGACTTAGAAGACACGCTGCTATTAGCGAAGACAGGGAGGTGAGGGTAAGTTCATTTATTCACTCAACAATCACTAGTGGAGTGTGGATAAAAGAAAACCGTCCTTGACCACATAAGGAATTAGGTCTAGTAGGGAAGACAAATGTAGGTCAATAAATTACATAAGGGCTGTACTAGATTGTACGGTGGTACAGGTGGGGAAGCGAGGAACTATGTCTGCATTGTGTCCAGGAAAGGGTCACAGGCGTGTTATGTAGATTCTGGAGAAAATTCAAAAACAGCATTTATTTTTACTTATTTACTTTTGTATGTAGAGACAAGGGTCTCACTATGTTGCCCAGGCTGTTGTTGAACTACTCGCCTCAAGCAATCCTCGCGCCGCGACCTCCGAAAGTGTTGGGACTACAGGTGTAAGCCACCGCGCCTGGCCTAAATGTGGCATTTAGAAAAAGTATTTACAATATCTGCATTAAAAGAACCATAAAGCAACCAGGCATCTAAGTCCCTGAACCGATTTAAGTTGCTCAAACCTGAGAGGACAACCAAATGATAGCAGAAGGGCAAAAGAGAAAGGAAGCCGGAGTGCCCACTCAGGAGTGTGAGCGGGAGGAGGCATTTCGGGAGCCGCCCGAGCTTCAGAAAACGGAGCGAGACACCAGTTGGCCATACTGAGGATTAAACAGGGCCTCGCGGTTCCGCACTGCGGCCGGGAGACAAACCAGCCGCCACTCTCACCAGCCCCGAGCAAACCACTAAGAACTGGGGAGGCGCGCGGGGCGGCTCAGGGCTGGCGCATTTGGTGAGGAGCTTGATACCGAGGCCCTTAGGGTCGGCTTAGGCGGTTCCCTGGTCCAGGCGCCAGAAAAGGGGCCGGCTCAAGCAGGCATGGGCGGCGTGCAGTACAGCACACCTAGCCCCGATTCTTCAACAGTTCTCGTCTTCCGAGCCTGTCACAGCCGGCTTCACCGAGACCGTTCACCCCCACCACAAGATTTTGTGAAGGGTATCACCACTCCGAAGAGGCGACTAGGAGACGCGCAATCCCGCGAGACCAAGAGGCCCCGCCCGAAGCCCGGCCTCTGTGACCGGAAGTGAGGCACTTGGCCCCGCCCCCCGTGCCCGATACCTCGCGAGACTTGGCGAAGGCCTTCCTTTTTCGTCTGGGCTGCCGACATGGTAGGTGTTTCGCTTCTTGCCTCCTCTTCCTTGCCGGCGGGGACTCCTAAGCTCATTCCCATTGCCCCTAGTCATCCACTCTCTACCATGGTCGGGGCTTCCAGGCTGCGCATGGCCGCCTGCAGGGCAGGGTGGCCGGCGCGGGCGCGGGCGCGGGGCGGTGCTCCCGGAGCCGTCTGTTAGGCCCGCGGTTCAGATCTCTAGGACACGCGGCCTCCGGCGCTACCGTGGTGAGCACGGCCCTAGGCCGATCGGTACCCTCAGCTTTACCGAACGCTCAATTAGTTGGGTCCTTGATCCACAGGCTTACAGGCCCATCTCACAGCTGGCAGGCATCGCCCCCTGCCCCTAATTCCTTAGGCCTTACCACCAAGCTTTTTCCACACAGCCATCCAGACTGAGGAAGACCCGGAAACTTCGGGGCCACGTGAGCCACGGCCACGGCCGCATAGGTGAGTGCCGGCTTCCCTTCGGGGTGGGCCTTGGGCTCTCTTCGGGTGCTTAGCTAGTCTGGAGATCGGTAGCCTATAAGAATAAGACCTTTTTGTGGGGTCAAGTTGGACAGCTGTTGATTTTTTTCTGAGGATCCTGTAGTAGTCCAGTTCTAAGGAATTTCACATCAGTGGAGTAATAGGAATTCAGCAGGCACGGTGTTAGGTTAGTTGAAGACGTGGAGTACTGTGGGAATGCTGTGATGTGGAACCTGAAAAGATGTTTCACCCGGAATCCTGAAGTAATCGCATTGCTGAAACCGGCATCGGTAGGGTAGGAACAGCGTAAGCGGGACACAGACGTCTGGGGAAACGCTCGGCTTTTGTACGAGGAAGTATTGAATGGCATGAGAAGGCTGTGTGGTGCATGTAGCTTTTTTGGGGGGGGCGAAGGGGAAAGACTGATCACTGTCGCCCAGGCTGGAGTGCAGTGGCGAAATCTCGGCTCAAGCGATTCTCCTGCCTCAGTAGCTGGTATTACAGGTGTGCGCCACCACGTCCGGCTAGTTTTTCTATTTTTAATAGAGTCGGGGGTTTCTCTGTGTTGGCCAGGCTGGTCTCGAACTCCTAACCTCAGGTGATCCGCCCGCCTCGGCCTCCTAAAGTGCTGGGATTACAGGCATGAGCCATCACACCGGCCCCATGTAGCTTTGTATTCCTGCAGGCAAGCACCGGAAGCACCCCGGAGGCCGCGGTAATGCTGGTGGTCTGCATCACCACCGGATCAACTTCGACAAATAGTAAGTGTCCTTGGACTGCTTTTGACACAGCTTGGGAGGTAGGGGCAGAGAGAGGGCTGGCTTAAACAAAAAGTTTAGAAGCAAGCCTTGCCTACTGCTGTTTTTTTACCAAGTTAACACTTCGTGTGAACTGAGAACCTGTCATCGAGGCTAGAGTCACGCTTGGGTATCGGCTATTGCCTGAGTGTGCTAGAGTCCTCGGAGAGTAACTGCTGATCTTATTCACTGGCTGTGGGCCTTATGGCACAGTCAGTCACCAGGTTAGAGACATGCTTCACATTCACCTACTCACAAACTAGTGGATGATAAATTTTGGCTATTCGGAAGACCTTTATTATAGGAGTATGTCGATTTTCCATAGAGTGCTGTTATGTGGCTTGAATTTTAGTCTCAGCCCTGCCTCTAACATTGTGAGTGGTTTATCCTGGTTCCAGGAAATAAGACTAGCCTTTTCCTCATGATAGTCTTTGGTTGTTTTTAAAACCGTTGTTTAAGTCAACAGATGTATCATGTGCCTGACACTGCTCTACATCAGTGAACAATTTACACTGTAATGGGGGAGGTAACTATAAAGATGATAAACATAGCATCTTAATTGGAGTGTGTATGAAGGTGGTTGTTATCTCTTCCTAGCCACCCAGGCTACTTTGGGAAAGTTGGTATGAGGCATTACCACTTAAAGAGGAACCAGAGCTTCTGTCCAACTGTCAACCTTGACAAATTGTGGACTTTGGTCAGTGAGCAGACACGGGTGAATGCTGCTAAAAACAAGACTGGGGCTGCTCCCATCATTGATGTGGTGCGATCGGTAAGTTAATTGGATGTTTTTCTATACTTCCATACCTTCCCTTACAAAAACTCTGGCTTAATCTTAAAACCTGTACTTCCCAGTTACCTACCAGACATCGATTCTTCCTGTGGTAGAATTATCATAGGTATTTCCCTGTCAGTAACAGTGCCTACTGTCACTGCCCAGGTTGTATCAGGTTTGCATTTCGTGCTTGAACTATAGCTGGTTCTGATCGAGCACAGCTCTTGGCCCTTCATGTTCCCCAGATAATAGAATCCTAATACGTTCCATCGATATTCAGTGCTGTACATTATCTGAAGAGATTTTCCCCCAAAACAGATATATTTTGTCTGTCCTTGGTGGGGGGTTCTGGTCCCTGTGTTAGTCTTAACTCTCATGAATATGGAGATAATCTTAAGAGGCCAGAACCCTAGGGGCGCTTTAAATTGACTTCCCAGCCTATTTAATGTCCATTGAGTAGTTTTAGTGGTCAGGAAGGTGGTTGTCTTCTTTTGCTTAGCAGGGGGTTTTTGAGCAGGAGGAGGCTTATGCTTTGCCGAGACTAGAGTCACATCCTGACACAACTCTTGTCCTGGTGTGCTAGAGTACTCGAAGAGAATCTTCTGGTCTTGATTCACTGGTGGGGGCAGTTGGTGCCCCCATTAGTGCCCAGATCAGAAACATACATACCCTGCCTAGGGATTTAGAAAGTGGGCTGGCAGTCTTTCCTCATACCCATCACGCAGTAGGTACCAGCTACAGTGTATTGTAAACTTTTTTCTCTGTTCTTCCAGGGCTACTACAAAGTTCTGGGAAAGGGAAAGCTCCCAAAGCAGCCTGTCATCGTGAAGGCCAAATTCTTCAGCAGAAGAGCTGAGGAGAAGATTAAGGGTGTTGGGGGGGCCTGTGTCCTGGTGGCTTGAAGCCACGTGGAGGGAGATTCATTAAATGCTGACTACTTTTTCTTTGTGGTGTGAGTATAGGTTCTTCAGTGGCATCTCTACATCCTGTGTGCATTGGGAGCCCAGGTTCTAGTACTTAGGGTATGAAGACATGCGTTCCTCTGCTGACTTCCCTCAGAAAGTATATGGTAAAGATAAGACCAACACAGGCATTGGCCAGTGAAACATTTCTGTTTATAAAGTCAGAATGATACCTGTTGATCACTGAAAGGTCTGCATGTATTGTATTCTGAATTTTACAGTGAATGGGAGAATGTACCCTAATTGTTCGATGGGGCTCAAAAGGAAAGATTCCATTTTTAATGGTTCACATTCTAAAGAAGGGCAGTGTGATAGGAATGAGGTGGTCCTTTAGGACTTAATTCCTCAGCCCAAGGTTTTTCCTCTTGGCCCCCCTTTTTTTTAAACGGAGTCTCTCTTGCCAGGCTGGAATGCAGTGGCATGATCTCGGCTCCCAGGTTCAAGCAGTTTTCCTGTGTCAGCTTCCTGACTAACTGGGATTACAGGCACCTGCTACCATGCCCAACTAATTTTTGTATTTTCAGTAGAGCTGGGGTTTCACCATGTTGGCCATGCTGGTTTCTTAACTCCTAACCTCAAGTGATCTGTCCACCTTGGCCTCCAAAAGTCCTGGGATTATAGGTGTGAGCCACCACACCCGGCCATGGCTCCTTAATCTTCATCGAAATTCTTGTTATATTTTGAATGTGATGAATCAGAGTCTGGAGATGGGGGTCCAGCAATCTGCAATTTCAATATGCCAGGGCTTTTCTGTATGTCAAAGTGGGTTTGAGATGGTTAATTTTTCTTCTAGTCTGAAATGTATCGAGAAAATTTGGAAATCCTGAAGACCAGAAATTGAAATAAGTTTTTCTAGGATTTGTGTTTCTTGCTGTTGGAAAACTGATGGTGACCAATGCATGTTTACAAATAAGATCCTCATAGATCTTAGGGTAAATTATAATTTGCTACAGTTTTATGATTCTTCTTGTGATTTTGAACTTTTTTTGACCCAAAATAATGCAGTCTAAAATTAGGCAAATAAGACGGCACTTAGACTCCTGGGTTTTAGTTAGTGGAGGTTTTCTGTGGGGTCATAATATGCATAAGCCGAGAACCATGGTTGTCTATGGGACATATCTGTCAGGATAACCTTTAGAGGATGTTGGGGATCAAATACAAGGCACAGAGAAACACTGAATTGGCTTACATAAGAATAGGATAGAATTACAAGCAGTAGTGAAACCTTGATTCAGCTGGACAATTTTAAGCAAATGTATCATTTGGCTTGTATCTTCTGTTGTGCTGGAGGAGGTTAGAAATAGGGACTCTCCAGACCAGCCTGACCAACCTGGAGAAATCTTGTCTCTACTAAAGACACAAAATTAGCCGGGCGTGGTGCCACATGCCTGTAATCCCAGCTACTTGGGATGCTAAGCCAGGAGAATCTCTTGAACCCAGGAGGCATAGGTCACGGTGAGCGGAGATCGTGCCATTGCACTCTAGCCTGCCATTCCACTCTAACAAGAGTGAAACTCAGTCTCAAAAAAGTAAAAGTTCTCCATTAGAGCCCATAGAGGACTTTTAATATGGAACCTGAATTCAAGGATCCCACAATAAGTGGTCAGTAGTTAATGATGAATTAAAGACTAAATAATTTGGTCTCCACCCAATACCTGTGTGACTTTTAGTCCCAATTTCCTCATCTTTAAAATTTAGGTGAAAGTGCCTACCTGAGGATTGTATAGATTAAAATGGAAGCCATGCACTTAATTTTTGTGTTTGACTTAGTAACAAGTGCAAACTATTATGGGAGCAGATGGAGTCAATTGGCCTTCATGTGATTGTCAGTGGGAAATTGGTCCAAGCAGAGGGAATACTGGTTCGGGAAACTGGTTTGGGAAGGTTAGGCAAACGGGAAGTGCTATGGTGAAGAGAAAGATTACTCTGACTGGGCTGTAAAGGACAGCTACAATGGGAGGCTGAAGGCAGAACCAAGAAAATGGGAGTATGGAAAAGGTACGATTCAGACGACATAATGGACAGGACTTGGAGACAGAATTGTAGTGGGCTGATCACAAAATGATGAGACATGGAAGGAAGCAGAGTTTGGGGGGAAAGATCGCTAGTCCCTTAATGGCTACCTTCCCCGGGAGATCATTGTTAGGCCATCCGATCCTCTGGCCTGGGAAAGAAACACTGATTTCATTGCTGGCTTGTTCACTCACCAGAAGCTACAGCTAGTAACTTCTAAAAACTTAGTTTTATGTGATGAGGAACAGATGAAAAGTTTTGAACCCTAAGTCCACCGATTCCAGTGCTTTCTCGAACTCGCATTTACTAAAATATTTTCATGACTGCCAAGTTTGAATAGCCTGCTGTGTTCATAGAGGCTCACACTGGCGATCTCTAGTGGCTGGCTAAAGCTTGCATTGCAAAGGATACAATCTCTGGTCTAATGTATATATGCCTTAAATGTAGTTGCGTTCAAACTTGGGAGCTGCAGGTGCAACTTGATTTTATGACAAATGTCTGCCACATCATTTGCACAAGCAGTGCTCGTCTAGGACAGCTAAATCAGGCGAGCTTTCAATTAAATGTACTACTAGACCCTACTTAGCGGCTAACTAGCCCAAGAGCAGACAGCCCAGGGACGGACTGCAAGTCGAAAGCGCGGGCGGAAGCTCCGCAGCTCCCGCCTGTTGGCTCCATCGGCTGCTTTCATCAGTCAGCAGGACCCAACCGCAGTGGCGTCCCTACAACACAGACCGCAGCTTGGGTCTCAGGTCGGCCCTTGAGAGCCACTTCCGGTGACTAGCTTCTACTTCCGGAGATGATGACTTCCCCGCGTCCCAGACTGGAAGAAGCACGGAGGAGACCGGCCTCGCTTGGCCACTTCCGGTAAGGGTGGCGCCAGCCAGTGGTGAGCGAGTGCAGATAGCTCCCCTGGAGAGGCGGGATGTTCAACTCCACCCCTGGTCCCTGGGCGGCCGTGGGTCCCCTTCCAAGCGGAGGAATGGCCAACCTCGCCGCACTTCCAGCACCGATTAGGGTGCGTTTAAGAACGGGAGGCGTGGCCTTTGCGTAAATCTTCAAGATGGGAACCTCCAGAATTTGTCTCAATTGTCTAAAAGGTAATGAGCGTCAGCCACGTTCAAGGGCACTTTGGGCTAAAAAAGAAAGTGCTTGTACACGGATGGAAATGTTCTGGAAACAAAACAAAAGGAATTTCCTCTTGGGAGTTTAGGGAAATGAGGGAGACGAAGTATGTTTTGGTGCTGTTTGTTTTTTGTTCAACCCAATGCATATTTTCATGTTGAGAGGCAATATAAATGGAGAAAAATATCTTGAGAGGAAAAAAAAAAAAACTACCAGAACTTGCCAATGCTGAAAAGTAGTATTTTCTCTTTCGAGAGTTTTCATGGCCTTTTAAATTACACCCCCACCTTCACAGGCAAATAAATTTGTTTTGGAATGCACACCACATCATCTGGCTCTAGAAACGTATTTTGTGTAGCGCCCCTAGCAAGAATGTAGGTTAAAGTGTATATTTAATTCCTGGCTCTATTTTACATCCCAATTTTTATTTTCCTCTCATTCCCACTTTACGTTGTTTCAAATAACCTCGTTTGTGTATCCCTGTAAGTCATTTTGGGTACAAAGTGGGTTATAAGTATACATGTGAAAAGATATTTTAACAAAAATTTGAGCTGTAACTGTAATCACACTTATTTTCTTGGGTCGTGATATGATTTGGATGTGGTTTTAAATTTGGCCCCTGGTATGGGCAGTGTTGGAAGGTGGAGCCTATTGGGAGGTGTTTAGATCATGGAGGTAGATCTCTCACAAATAGATTAATGTTCTCCTGTGGGGCTGAGTGAGTTCTCACTCTGCTGGGAATGGAAAGCAGGTTGTTTAAAAGGCGTCTGGCTTCCTCAGTTTCTCTTGCTTCCTCTCTTACTACCCCTACCCGATCTCTTTGCACATGCCCAGCCCCCCTTCTGCTTTCTGCTGTGAGTTGAAACAGCGTGAGGCCCTCCTCAAGTACAGCTGCCCAATCTTTTAACTTTTCAGCCATCAGAATCATAAGCCAAATAAATCTTTTTTCTTTATCAATTACCCAGTTCCAGGTATTCTGTTATAGCGACACAAAATGGACTAAGATGGGCCCTAATTCCACAGATTCCAATGTGAACCAGAGTTTGACTAATACTGTTTAAGGGCAATTCTTCAAAATACTGCTTTTTAAAAAGCCCAGAATACTTATTTCAAGACTACAGTTTATCAGAGCATTTAGAACAGTGTAATGAAGCAGCCTGCCCTGCATTAAAAGAACTTAATTGCAGAATAGAGGAGAGCTGACACTCCTACAGGTGAGGGGACTTCCCTGGTAGAGGAGATAGCACTGTTATCCCTGAGCAATTGCCCCAGTATTGTCAGAAAGCCACTGTTTAAGGACACTTGCTGTCAGTGGCCACAATACCATCTTTTACAGGAGTGTTTTGGAAACAGTGATTTTTTTTTGTTTGTTTGTTTGTTTTAATTAATAGAAGTGGGGTCTTTACTGTGTTGCCCAGGCTGGTCTCAAACTCCTGAGCTCAAATGATCCTCCTGCCTTGGCCTCCCAAAGTGCTGGGATTGTAAGCATGAGCCACTACACCTGGCCACATTGGGGCATTTTTGTTACAGTCATGGAGGGGAAGTGACCAGGGATGCTAAATATCTTGGAATGGATGAGCTAGTCCTACACAATAAAGAAAAATTGAACTTACAATCTAACTTCATTTACATATAACTCCAAAAGTTGGTTTGTTTTTTGTTTTTGCAGTTTTCATATACTTCTCAGTTTCCTAGGATTCTAACTACTGTTTAAATCAGGGGAAGCTCATACTTTGTTTTGTTCAGAACATTCCCAAAAATTGTTCATTTCAGAAAACTCACCAATAACTACTCAGTAGGATCTGAGTTGCTGATACAACACTTTTTTCCATCTGCATATGTAGCTGTTGCATTCACAGTAATTCTGTGTACAGTGTAGGCATGTGATTATCTCTTCTAGTACAGTTGTGCACAAGCATTTACATATTTAAATATAACAAAATATTTATTTCTGCCCTTTTATATTACAGTTAAGGTATATTTCAGTAGCTTATGTTTGAATTTCATTTCAGGGTAGTGGAGGGAATTAAAGTATTTGCTATTAAAACTAAACTGTTGGATCTGATAGGGTTGAAAATCATTGGTTTAGAGGTCCAGAGATCATGTGAAAGAACGTGGAAAGAAGCCCTGAGATCATGTGAAAGAACGTGGAAAGAAGCCCTGAATACTTTTTGTAAACCCCAAGCCAGGCCCACTGTCCACACCCTCCTCTCCCCATAAGGCCGCTGTGCCTTGGCTATGGCAATCACTCTATGGGCCCTTGCAGCCTATTCTAAGCCATTATATGCAAGTACTGATTTTCTGGATTGGGACCAGAGCTGCAGCCACAGTAGCGGGTAGACATACCGCTCTGGTATTCACGTAAGGGCATACTATATTTTAAAGATATGTAAAAGTGGCAAAATTTATGAATAAGGCCGGATGTGGTGGTTCATTCCTGTAATCCCAGCACTTCAGGAGGACTGCTTGAGCCCAGGAGTTTGAGACTAGCCTGGGCAACACAGTGAGACCCCATTAACGCAAATTTTAAAAAACATTTTACACATACACATCTTGTGATCTGATCGCATGTCTAAAGGTTATTTGGAGCCATGCTGAAAAGGAAGGGTGGAGGAGAATGGGGGAGGAAGGGAAAGAGAGAGAGCGCATGTACCTTTTAGGAATTAAATCTGTATTTTTCTTTTTTTTTTTTTGAGACAGCCTCGTCCTGCGCCCAGGCTGGAGTACAATGGCACGATCTCGGCTCACTGCAACCTCTGCCTCCTGGGTTCAAGCGATTCTCCTGCCTCAATCTCCCAGTAGCTGGGATTACAGGCATGCACCACCATACCCGGCGAATTTTTTGTATCTAGTAGAGATGAGGCTTCACCATGTTGGCCAGGCTGGTCTTGAACTCCTGACCTCGTGATCCACCCACCTCAGCCTCTCAAAGTGCTAGGATTACAGGCATGAACCACCACGCCCGGCCTGTATTTTTCTTATTAAGGAATCTGCTTCTGTGACTATCCTAAGCCCAGGCTGAGTTAAGAGCGACGAGTTCTGGAGGGAACTACATCCCACTCTGAGTCTTCTGGTTGTAATCCGTCTTTTCTCTTGATCCGAACTGAAGACTCGCGAGGCTTCAATCCCTGTCCTAGTCCTGGCAAATGGCAGAGCCAGAAAATGACTTCGCCTTCCCAGAAGACAAACCCTCTACTTTATTCTGTGAGGCTGACAGCAGGCCCAAACCATGGACAGGTTGAGGCCTGCGCAGGCCTCAGTGGAGATGGGGAGAGGGAAGAGGGGAAGGAAACTTAGGATGGGATCATCTCTCAACAAGGGTGGAAGGACAGGAAAACTTTACTCATGGTTCAAATCCTGTCAGACCCAACCACAATACCAAGGAAAACGGTTGCAGCTTAATGCCTCACTTGGGAGTTTGCAAAGTCTCTGCTCTCCCAAGGCCTTGGTGGGTGAAAAGCCTAAACCATCCTTATTTCCCACCTTGTTCCTCTCCTTCTTCTTCTGTGGAATGTAGCAGTACTTTCTGTATGAAAACCTAGGGTTCCAATGGAAAAATGATTCACAGAGTGACATGGAAGAGTCACAGGGAGTGGGTCAGGGCTATGCCCAAGCCTGCGTTGGCATTGGCTGGGCTTCACTCCACCAGTGTCAGGACACTCAAATGACATCTTAGGGGCTTCAGGCTGAAGAGGAAAATGTTAAGATTTACCTAATAATGGGGCCAACGGGCAAAGAGCATTCTTTCCATCACTGGAAACACCTAAGCACAGGCTGAACACTTGAGGGAAGCTGAACTACTGCAATGACTGGGTATCTTCTAACTTAAGACCAGTCATGCAACTTAGGCTGGAGAACTCCATTTCAGGGGAGGTCAGTGACTCACACTAAAGCTAACCCCTTAATCTAGTACTCAGTTCCCTGTGTGATGTTTCATCTCTGACTGGCCAGTCCCAGCCCACTCCAAGGAGAGAGAACTCTAGATAACAAAGCCAAGGAACACATGAGGCTCTGGGCCCAAACAACTGTACACTGTTTATTGAGAACACCCGTAGATGGGAAGGAGGAATGCCCTGTACCGCATCGTGGCCACCACTGACTGGGAGCCAGGCCCAGAGAGCACTGGCAGAGCTGGGGGTGGGCTTTCCATGACACACTGACCATCTCAGAGGCTGGGAGGAATGAGAGGACTAGGCCTAAGACCCTGGTGCCATGCTGCAAATGGGGACTGATTGGCCTTTGCCTTTCAAAAACAGAGGGTATGGGTATGGGGACTACCAGGAAAAAATAGAAACTCAAGTTTTTTTAAAAGGTCCTCCTGTACATAACAAGACAGCATCTGCTCTCCAGGGCCTGAGACTGGCAGCAGGGGCCTCAGGCAGGCAGGCAGGCCGAAGGCCTCCAGGGAAGATCAGTGGTTTGGCTGAGACAGTCAGCTGCACAAAACTGGCCAGTCACGAGCACCCAGCAAAACTTCATCCATGCTCTGGCAGGACAGGAAAGCACCCGGCCCCTTGGGAATATACAAATATTTACCATATTCTCTTTGCTTGTTACAAAAACAGTTAAGAAAGCTTACAGCAGATTATTTACAAACAGTATCCCGGGATATGATGAAGGCAGAGGTGGGCTGGCTTACAGGATGGGATCTGTGGGGGCAGAGGAGCCACAGCAGCCCAGAGGGTCCCAGGCTGGGCCTTCTCTCCAGGCTTCAGGCTCTGCAAGGCACTGGACTCTGCTACTGAGAAGGGGGCTTAATTCTTCTTGTGGAGGAACTTCATTTTGTTGCCTGTGGGCCAGAGAGGACAAGACAAGAGAGAGAATGTTCAGTGTTATCCCTTCCAACCTCCACTCCCTCTCCTCCTTGTAGCCATCACCCTCTTAGTGGGAGAGGAAGAGGGTTAGGAAGACTGGATTACAGCTGTGATCTGATCCAGGGTAGGGAAAACACGTGAGAGCTCTAATTAGGGCACTGGTATTAATCGCTGTGTGGTTTTAGGCAAGCCACTTAACCTCTTTGGTCTCAATTTCTCTTTAAACAGAAACATGCTATGATTCTCTGATCTGACGGGCTGAGCACCCTGCAGGGAGGGGAGCATTTTGCAGGAAGGGCACTTGCACTGCTGTGTCTGCAGACCTGTTATGGTCTAGAGGAAAGCTCACTGGCTCTCATGGCCTTCATATTCATTCAGGATGGAGCGCACACAGAAAGACCTGATGTATGTGGGAACCTGGGATTCCTCTTTGTATGCAATATGGTAAATACAGCCTGCCCTCCATATCCATGAGTCCTGCGTTCATGGGTTCCATGTTTATAGATTCGACCAACTGGAGATCAGAGATATTTGGGGGAAAACTGAATGGTGGTGTCTGTACTGAATATATATAGACTTTTTTTTTCCTCATCATTATTCCCTAAACAATACAGTATAATATCTATTTACAGCTGGGTGCACTGGCTAATGCCTGTAATCCCAACACTTTAGGAGGTCAATATGGGAGTATTACTTGAGCCCAGGAGTTTGAGACCAGCCTGGGTAACATAGCAAGACCTCATCTCTACAAAACAAATTTTAAAAATAGCCAGGCGTAATGGCATATGCCTGTAGTCCCAGCTACTCAGGAGGTGGAGGAGGGAGGATCACATGAGTTCAGGAGTTTGAGGCTGCAGTGAGCTAGGATTGCACCACTGCACTCCAGCCTGAGTGACAGAGCCAGACCTTGCCTCTAAAATAAAATAAAATATAAAATAAATAAAATAACACAGTTTACATTGTATTAGGTATTATAAGTAATCTAAAGATGATCTAAAGTATATGGGAGGATGTGCACAGGTTATATGCAAATACTATGCCATTTTATAGAAGGGACTTGAGCATCTGTGGATTTTGGTATCTTTGGGTATCCTGGAACCAATCCCCCACAGATACTGAAGGACCATTACTGTGCAAAATGCCCTTGGAATTCTGGCTGAGAACCACCTCATCACTATGGGATGTCTACATCCTGTTCTGTCTACAGCCCCAGTATAACACATGTGGACACTGATTTAGAGTATTTGGGGGCACAAATCCCCCAGCCCCTTCCTTCTTGCTGAACATCTATCTCATGAGTAAGGCTACTTACCCAAACCTCGGAGAAACTTATTCATTCCACTCTGCTCAGTGTCTGGGAGTTCTTCTAAGTACTGTTCCACTCGCTGCTCAAAAAGACCTGGGTAAGAGAAACAGGCACAGGGAAGAGAATAGTCATTGGAGGAAAGAAAGGGAAGGAGAGGCCTACATGAAGGGAACCATGGAGCACAGATGCCAAAAAACGAGAAAGCAAGCATCTGGGATGATAATTTGCAGGAGCATCTTACTAGAATTCAGACTGGCTCATCAAAGCCATCATTAGTGACATCTTGCTGGGGTTCGCTGCTGCCACCCTGCCTCCCCATGCACTTTCCCAAGCTGCACTAGGGTGAGGAGGCTGCTTCTCAGTTCAGAGCTGCCCCAAGTGGACATCTCTAGCTTCCTTCAGACAACTCTACCATGTTTTTCCAAAAAGGTTGTTACACTAAATGGATAGTATTAGAGGACAGAAGAAATACTAACCCTGAGGTTAGAGAGAAAGATTGTGATGAGATGAGAGTCCTAAAATGAGCTGATGAAATAGCAAAAAGCGAGATAACCATCTGCCTTCAATGAAGACTACCACCAACTTACAACAGCTGACCCAGTGCTCTCTAAGGGAATTCCCAACCCCTGGGTTCTCAGAACCCCCAAAATTGCTCAGTCTGTTCCTTTTCTCTGGATAGAAGGGCTTTCTTCTATCCTTCTCTTTGAGTAGGGGGTGGGCAACCAATAGCATGCTGCTCCTAGGCGGAGATGAGTCCCATCTCTAGCTCTGTGGCTCAGCCTGTGCACAGCCTTGTGAAGGCATTGACTGGGAAGGAGGAGGAAAATGCTCCCTTGGAAGTTTCTAACAGAAGTAAAGGGCTGTTAAGAGGCCTGGCCCTAGCTTGATGTCCAAGAGCTTCCATCATAGTGCCTGGTTCTTCAGCCCTGCTGTGGGTGAAAAAATTAGAGAAGAGAGCTGATAAACAAGCCTTACCCTTTGCCCGACACTTTCTTAGCTCCCTGTCTTGGATGAAGCCCGCAAACATCTGAGACTCCATAAAAACCTCAAGAAAGCGGCGGATGCTTTTAGAGGCCACAGATTTGCGGAAGGCCTCTCGCTGAAAGGCTCTCTCTCCCTTCTCGCTCTGTGTCAGAAAGAGGGAGTAGTGCCCAACGGTCTCCACAAAGAACCGGATAAACACCTCCGACACCAACCCATTGAGGGTATTACATTCTGGAAGGGAAAAGAAAATCTTTGAGGTTCAGGTCAAGAGCCTGCAAAGCCTTCCTCAAATCTTCACCTGGTGTAGTCTTCCTCTCCCCAACAAGACTTCCAGCCAGTACCACTATTCTGTTCTGGAAGCTCTTTTTGAGACTGAGTTTCACTCTTGTTGCCCAAGTTAGAGTGCAGTGGTGCCATCTCAGCTCACTGCAACCTCCACCTCCCAGGTTCAAGCAATTCTCTTGCCTCAGCCTCCCAAGTAGCTGGGATTACAGGTGCACACCACCACGCCCAGCTAATTTTTCTATTTTTAGTAGAGATGGGGTTTCACCATGTTAGCCAGGCTGGTCTCGAACTCCTGACCTCAGGTGATCCACCTGCCTCTGCCTCCCAAAGTGCTGGGATTACAGGCATGAGCCACTGCACCCAGCCTCTGGAAGCTTTCTCTCTTGTGCCCATGGCCTTGTAACTAGCCTACAAGCTGCCGAAGGCCAGAAACTATGTTCTGAACATGGAAATTGAAACATAATTGCTGGATGAATTAAAGTAGAAACCAGAGCACCACTTTTGTCATATCCCTCACCCTAAGTGATTTTTCTGGCTTCCAAGGAAGAGGAAGTTCCTTTCATCTCCTGCAATGGCTTGAGGTAAGGCCTGAGAGGGAGGAATAATTAGTTTCCTGTCAGCAGAAAGTATCTTTGGGGTTGCCACATGTCTTTGGGTTTTCCTTCCCAAACCACCTGGGGTAAAGACGCTAGGGTGAGACCAAGGTCCTCATCAGCCAGAAGGGGTTTGGTGCGCAGAGGCAGAGTTCTGGCCCTATGGGGCCCTGACCCAGAGCAGAGGGAGCCTGGAGCAGAGCTGACCATGCCCGGGCACTATCCTCACCATCGTCGGAGTCACTGTCGGAGTCCTGGGAGATCAGCTCATTCTTCCTCTCCAGAGCCTGCTCCAGAGCTGCCTGTAACTTCCTAGGTAACAATGTGTCCTCGTCGTCCATCTGCAGGAGAAAGAAGGCAGTGACAATCATAGCTGACGCTGAGCTCTTACTGTGTGCTAAGACCTGTTAGAAGAGCTTGAGTAGGTAATCTCATTTATCTCTCCCAATAACCCTCATAACTATCATCAACCTCATTTTAAGATGAGGAACTGGAGCACAGAAAGGTTAGGAAACTTGCCCAAGATTACAGAGATTAAAAGTAGTAGAGGGCCAGGCACAGTGGCTCATGCCAGTAATCCCAACACTTTGGGAGGCTGAGCGGGAGGATCACTTGAGCCTAGGCGGGTGTTCGAGACCAGCCTGGGCAATTTAGCAGGTCCCTCTATCTGTAAAACACACACACAAAAAACAATTAGTCAAGTATGGTAGCATGCACCTGTACTCCCAGCTACTTAGGAGGCTGACGTGGGGAGGATCACCTGAGCTCAGGGAGGTCGAGGCTGCAGTGTCATGATTGTACCACTGCACTCCAGCCTGGATGACCGTGAGACCCTGTCTCAAAAAAAAAAAAAAAAAAAAAAAAAGGTGGTAGAGCCAGTGGCCTTTGTGACCAGGACTAGCCAGGGGTTCCTGATTAGGTCTCCCCAATTCCTCCATCATCAGCTCTAGGTAGGAGGCACAGTTGGCTTGGGGCAGGGGGACCGTGGCCAGCCTGTGTCTCAGGAATGAAGTTAGACTGCTGTTTCAGTCTCTACACTCTGTTTCTGTGTCCACATCACTATGCCTGGTACCCAGGGAGTCCTCGGCTCCATCACTGGTGTGTAACAGACAGTAAGTACATTTCCATAGGGGAGGCACTGGGTTGTGCTCCTTGGTAGAGAGCCAGGAGGATTTCCACGACTAACAAAGGCTTTTTGTAGTTCACAACAATCATTGCAAACCTGTACGTTACACAACAATCTATAGTTATTTGTGTAACCCCCAGCAACATTTCAAGGCAGGTGTTGTCACCACCTCTGCTTTAGAGCTCAGAGGAATTTAGAGGCCTAAGACCATGTGGCTCAAAGCGGGCAAAGTCCAGTGGTCAAGTCTGTGGACTCCCAGGCCGTGTTCTTCAAGTTCCCACACTGCCTTCCAGAAGCTGATGATGCCACTGGAAAGGCAGACCCTGCTGAGGTCAAGGATTCCAAGACTAGCTTCTCCCCACCCTTGACTAGTCTGTGAGTCAGTATGGAACCCAGAGAGCTCAACAAACAGATTGTGAAGGTTGAGTAGTGTGTGTGATGGTGCAGGGTGCTCAGGAGCCTGATTCTAGCAAGCACCCACCCTCTTACCTGTCGGATGAATCGGTCAGATCCCAGATTCACCATCAGCGCCTGAGAAAAGGAGTCATTAGCAGAGTGGCTCAAGGCATGAGTCCCGCAATGCCCTCTGCCAGGCCTCCAGACCTCCCAGGTTCCCAGGGTCAGATAACAGGAAGAACTCCAGCCGGGGATAGACCTCCCAGGGAGAAAGGATAAGAGCCTGGTAAAGAGGCCGAGGGGCCACAAGTAAGATCCCAGCACCTGCTTCCCCTTCCACCCCTCCCCCCAGCTGGTTCCCCGCCGTGGCCCACCTCCTCCACAGGCAGCTCCTTCAGTTTGGGGAGGGAGCTGGAGAGCAGGCCAACCAGGAAGGGGGTGGGACAGCAGACGATGTCAATCATGGAGGCCGGAAGAACAGGAATGAAGGTGTGCTGCCAGGAGAAGGGGTAGAGCAAGGCCACCACCGCGTGGGAGCAGCTGGAGAGGGTACTGATGGGCAGACAGACAGACAGACAGAGCACCTGAGCCCAGGCCCAGGACCTTAGAGTTCACTGGAGGCTCAGGACAGCCTTTGATCCTAAACCTCCCAGTGCAACAAAAATGCTAATGGGGCTCAGGGACCCTGCAGACTGGTGAAGCCCCCACTTTCCCGCTGCGTAGTGCCTCAGGGACAACAGTGCTACTCTCAGGGAAATGCACTTACAAACAGCCAGGAAGGTATGCAGCAGCCCGCAGGACAGTCATCTGACAAAGATCTGGAAAAGGGCTGTCTTGGGTTTGGGGGGCACATTACTGGGCCCATGGCTGAGGAGGCAGGAGGTTTTGTAAACCCCTAGGGCCAGTGAATGCAGATCCTGGGTACCCTCTCCCACCCCACATCAGAACTAGGCAAGAGGGACAAAGAACTTGTGGAAAACCTAAATCATCATCAGCGGAACATGAGCTGGCTGGACCTACCCCTCCCCTCTCCAGCCAGAGGCAGACCCCAGGCAGAACAGGAAGGACATCTTTTCCAAGACCCCAAATTGGCAGAACTTGAATACCCGGCCAGGCCAAGAACAAGACCTTGGGATCATCCCTCCCAGAATGGTCCTGGAATGTGCTCAGAGGCAGCTGCAACCACAGGAAACAATAGCTGTATTCACAGCCCCATGGGAGCTGGGCTGGGGGGCGGGGTGGCAAAGAGGAGGCTCAGCCATGCATTAGAGGGTAGAACCTTCAGGAAAAGAAACCTCATGGTCCAGGCTCTCTTAGGGGCCACTAAGATCAGGCCAGGCCAGGGCACCAAAGCCGGGCAGTCAGGGGCTTTGTTGGCTGACAATGACCATGGCTGGCACACAAGAGGGGCCTCTTGGAGCTGCTGTACCTAGCTCATTCCAGCTGTTGGGCTAGATTTCTTCACAGGGGCCTGATGGGCCCACAAAACACGTAGAACTGCGAGACACAGAAGCACTGAGGCTGTGATGGGAACAAGTGAGGGGCAGTTTTCCTTTCTAAACCCTGGCGCTCTATGGAAAAGTCAGCAGCTCTGGTTTTTCTTCCTCCTTTCTTCTCCTGGGCTGAGGATGGGCCTGGGTTCCTGTCCCTATGAGGGCAATCGGGAGTTCATTTCTCGGGCTCCTCTCAACTGCTCCCTGTATATACGGAAGGAAATATCCCAGGGATTCAGGACTTATTGGAGGGCAAACCAGAAGGGGGATTTTCCTTCACTGCCCTCCTCTGAGCACCTGACATTAAGGTGGCTTAATCAATGTCCAAATGACCACTCTAGAGAAGCCACTACTTGGGATGGATTCTTTGACCAAAACAATACGTAACATGTTGCCAATAACCCATCCTGTTGTTGTAGGAGTTATTAAGAAATTATTTTACGCAGAGAGGAAAAGTTTTTGTTTCTTTTTAATTTTTAATTTTTTATTTATTTACTTATTTTGAGACAGAGTCTCACTCCCAGGCTGGAGTACAGTGGCACAATCTCCGCTCACTGCAACCTCCACCTCCCGGATTCAAGCGATTCTCCTGCCTCAGCCTCCTGAGTAGCTGGGACTACAGGCGCCCGCCACCACACCCAGCTAATACAGGGTTTCACCATGTTGGCCAGGATAGTCTCAATCTCTTGACCTTGTGATCTGCCAGTCTCGGCCTCCCAAAGTGCTGGGATTACAGGCGTGAGCCACCGCCTCGTTTCTTTTAAAGCAGCTCAAAAACGTTTCTTGTCTAGAAAGCAAGCCCTGGCTCTTACAGCCAGGCAGGCAACCTTTGATATGCAAATACAGACCATTAGAAATTGGGTCCACCCAACACGGCAATTCTCACCGTTGTCTTCTTGCCCTTGCCCCCACATGTGCCTAGCAGCATGGCTGCCCCGCATATTCCCACGTGTGTAGAACATCAGGCACCCTATATTCGCATATTAAAAGGTGAGGATGGGAGGACCAGCTTTTTCGGGGGCTACATGAGTGACATGCCAGGTCAAACCAATCCCCTAAGCCCTATGCAAATCAAACACCGCCTCCTCCAGCCTACTTATAAAACTGGCTGGTGTCCACAGCACTTGAGGTTCCCTCTCTTGGCTTTGGAGCCTCCCTCCCTCTGTCTCTGTACTTCTCCTTTCTGCCTTTCTTCTTTCCTTCTTGCCTATTAAACTCTCCGCTCCTTAAAACCGACCCCACGTGTGTCCGTGTCGTTTTATCTAAACCAGCATAAGAACCAAAAGCCCTAGTGTTCCTCCACTCATCGGAGCCGTATCACTCTCCCTTGCCTGTGTCACCCCCCAACCACCACTGACATAAAACTTTTTTCTTTTTTAAACCTTGGCTGTCTAGAAGAGCTCTCACTTCTTCCTTCCTAAAATGCCTCAGGTCCAGTGACCATCACTTCTGCCACCCGTCCCATGGCCACCACCAGACCTTGACACCTCTACCTCTAAAGTCCTAAATGCCAGCATTTCAGACCAAGATTTGTGACCCACCCAGCTTTTTTCTTACTCCTCCTAAACCAGCTCCCCCACTTCCCTGGCACCTCCAGGCCCTGCACATCGTTTCCTGGTGTGGGCTGGCCAGCCTTCCTCACCCACTCTCCTCTCTGCACCTCAATGCCCCCATGGCATCCCTCTCCCCAGCCCTCCCAGTGCCCAGCCCTGGGCCACTGCAGTCGCCTTCTCCAGGGGACACCCTCCACAGGACCCTCACTGGCTGGCTCAGCACTCCTCACACTGTCCCCAGTCAGTGCTCTTGCCCCTTCCTCACAGCGGCTCTTTCCTTAAACTCAGCATCCCATTGAGATGGCTTTGCCTCCCCTTCCAGAAGAAATGCAACCATCCGCCAAAAATCTCAATTTCTTAACGTTTCCCCTGTACATATACTGCCATCTGCACAGTCTTGGCTGTTGCAAAGGAAGAAATGTCCCTCCCTCTTCCCTCAGGCCAAGCCCTCCACAGGGTTCTCAATCCCGCCATCTGTGTGCTCCCAAACCCTTCTCCCTCACCCACACAGGGGTGCTACCTTTCCACCTAGTCTTTATCTCCCTACGCACAGCCCCACTCCAGCACCAGCCAGCAAGTGCTTAGGCTCCTGAACACTTGCTGATTCGCTTGTGGGCGTGCTTTCCCCTCCCCTCTTCTTCCTTGCCCAGCTGGGCCCTACCTGAGCTTATCTGCCACAAAAATGACCCGGCGCTCCAGCAACAGCGAGGCAAAGATTCGGATGAGCTGGCGCACACTGAGGCAGGTAAAAAGGCACTCAAAGTCCACGTGCTCCAGCCGTGAGTCCATGGGCCGCCGCAGCTCTAACACCTGCAGGAGAGCGATGGGAAAGTGGGCCTGGGCCAGCCAGGTGGGTGCTGCCCTCCGGCCCTCCATGAAGCAACTGGAGGCTGCTTTCCCCTTCCCACCTGCTCTTTTCCAGGTCTCTCGCCTATCCTGCTATGCAGTAAACCCCTCTCCTCCACCCCTCAGACTACAGCTCTGCTCTCATAGCACTTGAACACCCAGGATGTGGGTGAGAGGGCTGCCTGTGAAAGAGGGGAAGGATCCAGAAGGAAGGAGTTGAGGGACTATCCATCGGGACCTCAGGAAGAGAGGAGAGCTGACTGCTCTTAGAGATAGGGAGAAGCAGGGAACCACACAGCCACATCTCTAGGGTCCTCCTGCCCACCTCCCCAGACAAAGGTCTAAGCACTTAATTCTGACTAGACCCCACTGCTCTCCAGGCATCTCTGCATCCCAGGACTCTAATCCCAGCCACCTCTGGAAAGGCAATGCTGGTGTCCTTGTTGCCCTGTCCCCCTCCCTTTCCTGCTAGAAAGAGTTTCCTTCCAGAGGCTATTTGTCCTGCCATCCTGGCCTTTATCTCCATCACCCTAAGTCCTGTGCCAGGCACAAAGAAAACACAAGCAAAGGGCTGGCCATTCTGCAACCTTGCCACGAAGCAGGACTGTCTTATCAGGGATAGGCCTAGCCTTCTTTCCTCCAAAGGCGGCTCCCAAGGTCAGTGCCACAGCTCAGAGAGCCACTTCTCTGGGGGCAGTCACGGGGGTGGAAGGTAGCAAATGACCCCAGTGGTGAGGGCAGGAGGAACTGCTGATGCTCAGGCTGTGCCAAAGCAGCTGTCCCTGGGGTCTGCTTGGCCTCATCCTTGGTCCCACAGCGTGTGTGTGCAGCATAGATGTGAAGGCCTCCTGAAAACTAGGGTGAGAAACCAGTTCTCTCTCATTGCCTGATGGCATCAAAGGTAATGCTTTACAAGGAGTTTTTATACCCACATCATCTCATTTGTTCCTCAGAGTCTAAGCAAGTGAAGGCGTTCTGATTCCTAACTCAGCATCCATCCTTCTGGGCCCCAGAGAAGCAGCAAAGTGGGCACAGGGTACAGTAGCGGTCTGTGTCCACTGTCTCTCCCACCTGATGGTGTACTCCTGGAAGGCCCGGTGATCCGCCAGATGCTGGGTACACCCCAAATGGTCAGTGAATGTGGGCTCAAGGAAAGAAGTACCACAATGATGCCAGAGCCCTTTATACCTGCTCCAGGCCCTGTCCCCGCCCCAGAAGTCACAAGCTCCCTGCATGCAGCCCAATAGACTCTGCTCTCTAGCACCCAGCCCCTACTGTCCCTGGGGCCCAACCCTCCCCCTTCCCCCAGGGATTGAGAATTCACACAGGCTGCTCCCACTCCCGGCCTTGTTCCATGCATCCCTGCCTTCAAGGAGATCAGGCCCAGGGGTCTGAAGGAGCCGAGCAGTTAACAGTCTGGGAGTCTGGTGGGTGTGACCAACATCTGCACAGGGACAGGCAGGACATCTAGGAGGGCAGCCAAGCTCATGTGCGTGGGGAGGGGTCAGGGAAGCCTTTCAGAGCACAAGGTACTTGACTCCCCAAAAAGAAAAGAAGGGAATTGTCTTCTAGGCAAAAGGAAGTAGGGTTGAGGGAAGAGTAAGTATCAAGTCAGAAGATGAGAGCCCAGTGAGGTGGCCAGTGCCAGACCACGAAGAGATCCCAGGCATGATGCTGGGCTATAAGGGAAGGGTCACCTATCCTGTGCCCCACAGCCACCACAAAGCCTAAAGTTCCTCTAAATGAAGGGGAGAAAAGAGGCGAGGAGAAAGCCCTCAAGCTAGGAGTTGCCACTGCTCAGCAAGCTTGGTATGCTTTTTTGGTCAGTCCTTCTCCCATTCTCTACAACTAATTTATTTACTCTTCCCTCTCCTAGAACCCAACATCCACCTCTTACTCTCAAAGAATGACCTTTTATATATATATATATATTTTTTTTTTGTTTGTTTGTTTGTTTTGTTTTGTTTTGAGATGGAGTCTCGCTTTGTCACCCAGGCTGGAGTACAGTGGCGCGATCTTGGCTCCCTGCAACCTTCACCTCCCAGGTTCAAGAGATTCTCCTGCCTCAGTCTCCCGAGTGGCTAGGATTACAGGCATGCGCCACCACACCTGGCAATTTTTTTTTTTTTTTTTGTATTTTTGGAAGAGACGGGGTTTCAACATATTGGCCAGGCTGGTCTCAAACTCCGGACCTCAAGTGATCCCCCCACCTCAGCCTCCCGATGTGCTGGGATTACAAGCATGAGCCACTGTGCCTGGTCTGACCTTTTCTATTTTGAGAAAATCAAAGCCATCAGATGAGAATCCAAAATCTACTACGCCACAACCTCCTCTCCTAAGAAATGCCAAGCCCTCCATGGAGCCTAACACTCACATCTTCTCAGTACACTCTGTTAGCCCCTCCTCCTCCTGTAGCTTGAACCTCTTCTTCTGGCAGCCATTCCCACCAGCATACAAACAACCATCCCTAACAAGCTTCCCTAGTTCCACATTTCAGTTGCTGCCCTCTTCCCTATTTTTGTCCACAGCCATGCAATCTTGAGAAGATGTCTACACAGGCTGTTTCCACTTCCTCACCCCCATCACTTCTCAACTCACTCCAGCCCAACTTCTGGGCCCTGCACTTGTCAAGATCTTCCACACCTCATCCTGATCTCTTAGTGGTACCTGCTTCAGATCATGGCTTCCTTTTTGAGGTGCTCCTCAGCCGAAGCCCTCCCCTGGTGTTCCCCTCTCCTCAAACTTCAGGGCTGTGGCTCCTCTCCTGCAGGGCCTCTGCATGTTGGGGTTCCCCAGGACTGAGGAGGACTCCATACTGGGCTCTCTTCTCTTCCCTATTTACACTCTTTGCTACTACATATCTTCTATTGGGGGTCTCATGGGCATCTCAAACTTGACATGTACACATTTTGGACTCTTCCTCCTCATTATCTGCTTCTCCTTCACGAGCTCCCATCTCAGTACATGGCTCCATCATCTACCCTGGGGCTCCAGCCAGAAAACTGGGAGTCAGCCTTACAGTCTCTGTGACAACTACGCCCTATTTCCAATCAAACACAAAGTGCTACTGGTCCTAATTCTAAAATCCATCTACTTCCCTTCTTCTTCTACCACATCTTAATCCAAAGCTGCCATCATCTCTTGCCTGTAGTGCCGCAACAGTATCCCTGCTGGTCTCCCCGTTTTCACTCCAACCATTAGCTACATGGCTGCCACAGTGGGCTCTGAATACATGTATCAGCTGGCCACAGGTGGCTCATGCCTGTAGTCCCTACAGTTTGGGAGGCAGAGGTGGGAGGATTGCTTGAGTCCAGGAGTTCAAGACCAGCCTGGGAAACATGGTGAAACCCTGTCTCTATAGAAAATACAAAAGTCAGCTGGGTATGGTGGTGCACGCTTGTAGTCCCAGCTACTCAGGAGGCTGAAGTGGGAGAATTGCTTGAGCCTGGGAGGGTGAGGCTGCAGTGAGCCATGATAGCACCACTGCACTCCAGCACCACTGCACAATATGGGCGGCAGAGTGAGACCCTGTCTCAAAAAAATAAAATGAAAACATATATCAGATCTTATCATACCCCTGCTTTAGATAAAATCCACAAATCCTTAACTTGGCCTAGCAGGGACATCGTGATTGGGTTCTTGCCTGCCAACCCACTCCCCTACCCCTACCCCGTCAACCCTCTGACCAGCACATGCACTTGCCCAACTTTTGCCTTTGCAGATGCTGGTTCCTCTACTTGGAATAATCTTCTCCCATTCGTATCCTTCTCTTTCCGTCTCCCTCCTCCTGCTTCATTTAGTTGCCCCCACTCACCACTTAGGTCTCTGGTCAAGTGTTACTTTCTCAGAGGAGACCTTCCCTGGCCCCTAATTTAAAGCAGAACCCTTGTTCCACACTCTCATAAGGTCCTGTGCTTTCACTTGGCTCGTAACACATTTAGGAATTATCTATTTATATGTAAAAGTGTTTACTATAATATCAGTATCTCCCACTAGACTACAAACTTCATGAGGACAGAGAGGTGTCCCTCTAACTCTGACTCTGCTCTGAGGTCTGGCACAATCTCTGACTGTGAGATGGCACACATTCAGTAACTGTTCGATGAATGAACAAAAGGAAGGCAGATGGAATGCAGTTTAGTCCAAATGGGTCAAGGAAGGCCCCTGGGAGGAGCAGAAGGCTGGGCAACATGTACATTCCTATTGTTCGCTGTTGTGGTCCCTTGTGATTGGGTACACTGACATGGTTGAGCAAGGAGGAGCCGTGCTCTGCACCCCTCAAAGACTATGACCTTGGCTAGTGTGGTCCTCCTGCCACCCCAGCCCGTAGCCCAAGAGAAGAGGGTGCAGAAATCCTTACCTCATTGCCAGCACCTGGCAGGAATGTCTTCACTTTGATGGTCTTCCCTGGGGCTGGGAAGGGCGACTCCATGAGACTTCTCATGAAAGGATAGACCAATGCCGCGGAGATCCCACGCCGGCGCTCCACCTCATCTAGGATCTGTGCCCACCGCCAGCAGCCCAAAGAGGAAGGGTGTCAGGGCAGTGCCCTTCCCCCCTCCTGGCAGAGAAGAGGGCAGCCAAGCATCTGACCAGGCTGGCCCAGAAGCTGGCAGATGGGAAGGCGGTCTTGCCAGGATCTGCACACTCTACCCTTCCCGTTTTCCTTGGCACTCAGTGATTCCTCTGTTCCTTAACTGGCCTTGCTTCAGTCCCCAAGAGCAGAGTAGCTGGGCAAAGGAAATACCACCCAAGAGTCAGCTCCCTGGGCGCTCCTGCTTCCCCAAGGACTCTGGTTCTGCCCAGGGCCCAGGGTGGGCTGTGACAGGGGCAGACACTGCCAGCACAGGAGCTGGGGAAATGCCAGCCGGCTGGGTAGAGGGCCAGGCTGGGGAATGGGAGGGCATCACAGAGCTCACTGGTACTTGCTCCTGCATTCTGTCTCCCGCTTGCTCACACTCACAGGTGGTTTTCTCATCTAAGCTGGCTGCAGATACTCCTGTGGGAGCTGTCAGCTGGGGGAGGGGGAGGGAAGCCTGCCAGAGCCTCTTACCTTGGAAAACAAGCCGAAGCAGCCAAGGCGGCTGATGACACAGTACACCTCTGGCAACCGGGGCCCTTTCCCACTTGGCTGGGCCAGGACAAGGAGGAGGAGGAGAGAGACAGACACAGAGAATGCATGATTACCATTTCTGGCTCCTTTTCCTTGGGAACTGAGGAGTAAGGACTGCGCTTCTAGTGGAGGAAGACTCTAAGCCTCCTCTAAACCTCTCTGCAACCAGGGCCCTGAAGGAAAAGCCACCACTCTCAGGACAGGCCTCAGCTCTGCAGGGTCTCCCAGCACCAGGTACCAGGCTCCTGCCAGACTCCACACAGGCTCTGCCCTTCCTCCCAGGAGGACGCTGACAGGGGCTGGCAAAGGGCAAAGCAGTTTGGCAGAGGCTACAGGGTGATCGGTGGATTCATATCCCTGAGGCTGGGACCCCAGCAGATGGGAAGGACTAGGGTACATCCTTAGGAGCAAGCCATTGTAGCTTTTTAGCCCCATAGGGCATATTCGGCATAACCTTCTTTTTTTGGTTCTTTTCCCCCTTTCTTGATCCACCTCCATTGTAAGAGAGCAAACTGAAAACAAGAGATGGGAGCTACGATTTATTGAACATTTGCTATACCTGACTTGGAACTCTACAAGAGATTTGTGAGACGGGGATTATTATCCCCTTCATAGATGAGGCAACTGAGTTCAAAAAGATTAAGCCATTGCCTAAGACCACCTATCTAGAAGCTGTGGAGCCAGGAGTTTGCTTTGGCCCTGTTTGGCTGTCTTACCCCTAAAGCCTGCTGCTTTCTGACAGGAAGGAAAGGAAACAAAGACAATTGGTAGAGGTTTGCTATGGAGTAAAGGAGCACAAAGAAGAACAGGACTTAAAAGGTGGGCATGGCTGGGCGTGGTGGTTCACGCCTGTAATTCCAGCACTTTGGGAGGCCGAGGCAGGTGGATCACCTGAGATTGGGAGTTCGAGACCAGCCTGACCAACATGGAGAAATCCCATCTCCACTAAAAATACGAAATTAGCCGGGCGTGGTGGCGTATCCCTGTAATCCCAGCTACTTAGGAGGCTAAAGCAGGAGAATTGCTTGAACCCAGGAGGCAGAGGCTGCAGTGAGCCGAGATCACGCCATTGCACTCCAGCCTGCGCAACAAGAGTGAAACTCCGTCTCAAAAAAAAAAAAAAAAAAAAAAAATGGTGGGTAGCTGAAGGGGAGACAGGCACTGAGAGCTCCCAGGCCCAGAGCCCCCATGCAGGCTTCAGTGCCTTCTCCAGCAGGGCTCAGAGGCCTGGAGGGCCTGGCAAGTCCGAGTCGGGAGGGAGCAGAGCAGCAGGTGCTGGCCCCTCATGCAGGCTGCTAAGCAAATGCAGATGGGGCTATTTCAGTCTCCAAACCTGCTGGCCACACGTCACAGATCTAGAGAAGGCAGAATCTGTTTTTGTCCATATTAGGCCTGAAACTCACTCCTGTCTCTTTCCCTCTCCCCCGCCTCCCCTAAAGCCCCAAGTGATTAAATCAAGTATGTGGGATTTGGGTTAGAATCATTGTGTCCAATCTGCAGGAATGCCGAGCTAGTGCCAGCCCCCTTGGCAGGGACCCAGCCCAGGCCCTCTCTGAGCACGCCAGGACAAACACGCTCTTCCCTGGGGGCAGCAGCCCCACTGCAAAGGAGCAGCTCTGCTGCATCTATGTTCCAGCAAAGGCAGCCTTCGCAACACTCCTTCCAAGCCCAGGAGGCCCAGGCGGCCAGAAGCTTGCTGGCCTCTGCCTGGCTGACCACCTGGCATTGCTCCTGTGCATATGCCCTTCACCCCTCCCTGGGCACTCTACCTCCCAACACCCCCTCTCCCCATCCATCCTCTGGGGGTGATCCAAGAGTACCAGATTGGTGACAAACGACTTCCCTTCTGGTTCTGTGTGACCTTGGGCAAGTCATTCTACCTCTGAGTTTTGACTTCCCAATCTATGGATCAGGGATAATAATGGGCTATTGTGATCATTTTTTTAAAAAGACATACTTGAAGCATCTAGCTTGGAATGTGACAGGTTCTAAACAATGTCTATTCTCTTGGCCTTTCTCTCCTGTGTTGAAAGTCCAATCTCCTGTAACAGGCCATCTAAAGTTCCTCGAGAGAAGATCCATGTTAAACTCATCTTTATATGCCTTTAGCACATGCCTGACTCTCAACAGGTCAGGGCTTCTGATAAGGGATGATAAGTGTTTCTGAATGAATGAATGACTAGCCCCAAATCCTTCCTTCAGGGCTCCTTGCCCCCTTCATCTACTCCTAGACTGGTATCTGGGGAGGCTTTCTCTTGCTAAGCCCTGGAAACCCCAAAACATTGTCAACAACCCAGTGCTCCAAGCGAGGAGTGCAGCAGGGGCCAGGCTCTGGGCCTCTACCCTAATCTATTTCCCAGGACTAATGGGAATGGAGATGGTGAAGGACTTCTCTTTACAAAATGGCTAACATTTTCAAAACCCAATCCCTTTCCCCTAGATTCAAGGTATCTCTCTCAGATTCCCAGAGAAGATATGTCACTGTCCCTTCCCAATCTCCAGCCCTACCACACCACAGACAGGCCTCCTCCCCACTACAGCCTGGCCAGGTATGGAGGTGAGGAAGGTTGTCCCTCACCTAATCTGATGCATATATACATACTGCTGGGGGTGATTCGATCCTGCAACCAGAGACCAGCAATCAGAGCCCACGATCCCAAGGGAAATGAAGAAAAAGTAGAGAAAAACTAAAAAGACACAAAAACCCACTCCCTCCCCTTATTCCAGATAATCTCCGATCCTAAGGCCCCCTCAGAAGCACCACTCTGAGCCCTGCTCTCCCAGGGTGGCCTCACCTGTGAAAATGTGTGTGTTGGCAGGGGGTTGGGGGTGGCCTCAGGGAGCAGAACATAGGATTTCATACAAGCTCAAGTTGCAGAAGGGCACACACACACACAAACACACACACCCTGACCTAGCCCCTGCCTGCCAGCCCGAGGACCAAATGGCCTCACTTACCAGTAAGCGCCTGCAGTAGCCAAAGCGTCTGCTGCCGTCTTCCCCAGTCAGCATGAAAGAAAAGGTCTCACTGGAACAAAGAGAGGTCTGGCGTCAGGGAGGTGTGAGAGGACCTAGGAAACAGCCCCCAAGAATAGGGACCGTCATCTTCAGGGTTGGGTGAAGGGCCAGGTTGCTGTAGGAGAGGAGGATGAGACTAGAGCAGGCCCCACTCAGGTGCCCACTGCTATGGGGGTAAAGAAGGCTATGCCCCTTCCTCCCTCCGGTCAGGCCAGGCCTCACCTGCTATACTCTGACACAGGGAGCCAGTCCTTGGCATCAGGGAAGCAAAACTGGGGAATGGCTTTGAGCCTTTCCTCTGCCTCTCGCATCTGCTTGGTGGGTCGGTCCAGCTGCAGGGAAGAAGGAACCAAGAGATGACACGGAACCTGAGGGCAGGTGGTGGTGGCTGAGAAACCCCTCCTCCCGAGGACCCTAGATGCCACTGACCAGTGGGCATGATCTCAGCAACCGTTGTCCCACTCCGAATTCTTACAGAGCCCTGAGTTATCATTCATTCATTCAATAAATGCCAGCGGAGTGCTTTCTGTATGGCATCTGACACAGTGCTGTGCGCCAGGGCTCTTGGCTCTCGACGAAAAACAAAGGGAACAAGGTCCCCGACCCTGCACATTCTGGTCAGCAGAGTGAGCTGCTCAACCACAACATCTCAGAGTGGGGCTTAAAAAAAAATAAGCAGGGTGGCCAGGCGTGGTGGTTCATGCCTGTTATCCCAGCACTTTGGGAGGTCGAGACGGGCGGATCACCTGAGGTTGAGAGTTCGAGACTAGCCTGACCAACATGGAGAAACCCCATCGCTACTAAAAATACAAAATTAGCCAGGAGTGGTGGCGCATGCCTGTAATCCCAGCTACTTGGGAGGCTGAGGCAGGAGAATCGCTTGAACCCAGGAGGCAGAGGCTGCAGTGAGCCGAGATCACGCCATTGCACTCCAGCCTGCGCAACAAGAGTGAAACTCTGTCTCAAATAAATAAATAAATAATAAGCAGGGTGATGTAACAGAGCAAGCTGGGTAGGGGAGGGGCTCCATGCAGGCGTCTGGACAGACCTCCTGAAAGAGGTCCTACTTGAGCAGAGCCTGAGAAATGAGAAGGAACCAGCAGCCATGTGAAGAGCTGGAGAAAGCACATTCCTGGCAGAGGCAATGGCAGAGAGAGAGGGGTTGAGTGTGAGAGGAAGAAGAGGGAGGCCAGGCTGGCTGGCAACAAGCAGGGAAGGCAGAGTGAGAGACAGGCTAGTGGGAGAAGTGTGGAGTGACAGCTAGTGGGTGCAGAGTTTCTCTCTGGGCTGATAAAAACGTTCTAAAATTGGTAAGTGGTGATTGCACAATTCTGTGAATACACCCGAACACTGAACTGTATACATTAAGTGGGTGAACTGTATGGTATTCAATCATTTTGGATTTTATTCTAAGCACACTGAGGGGTTCTCTCTCAGCCCTCATCCTTTGAACAAGCACTGGCCCAAACCCACCCCCGCTGCAGCCCTGTCTTCCCTCCTGGCCGAGAGGAGGCAGGTTCAGGGCTGTGGCAGCTCGGTGAGGAGGTATGACGAACAAGATCTCTCTCCTTCCCCAAATAGGCCTGGCGGATAGAGGATGGAAGAGGGGAAATATGGGCAAGGTTGGGAGAGAGAGGGCCTCACCTTGGGAAACTGGTAGGAGACTTCGGGGAGGTAGGTGTTTCGCGATGGCTTCTTCTTGAGGGACACCACCACAAAGTACTCGAAAAGCTCCCGCTCCTGCCACTCCAGCAGCTCCAGCTCCAGCGTGCGATAGCTGGGCGCGCGCTTCAGCATCGACTGGATGTGGACCAGGCGCTGTGTGTGGGCTGGAGGCAGGTTGCACATCAGGGAATGGACCCTCACAGGCCTTATGTTAGCTCCTCTACCCCTGGCTCAGGGCTCCATCGCTGTGGAGCACTTTTAAGGGCATTAGCCTAGTCTGATACCATCCCCAGTTTGCAGTGCGGGAGGACTGGCAGGCACAAGGTGCTGACCCCTGCACAAAGACTCTGCCCTGACACAGGAGGCTGCGGGCCTGGTCCTCCTGGAGCGTCCGGAGACTGAGCTGGGGCAGGAGGACTGCCGAGGCCAGGCAAACCCAGGGATGCATCTTGGCACCCACTCTGTCCCTGTACCAAAAGGACCAGAATACATGAACATCCACAAAGGCTTCATCCCTGGGCCCCTAGCAGTACTTGAGCCTTGTCCGTGCTCCTACATCCAAAGTCTACTTGCCATTTGCCTGGGGATGAGAGGATAATCATCCAGGAAGGCCTAGGCAGGGTTTCCCAGCAGAGAAAGCACAAAGATTTATCCAAGGACCCTGGAATGTGAAGGCTACAGAACCTTTTCAGGCTCCTCTCCGGGGAGAGGGGAGATGGGGGGCGGGGCTGCAGGGCCTCCAGAGAAACAGTTTCTTCAGTCTAAGGCACATTTCTTGCCAGAAGAGGTCCTTGTAATCTTCTGTACCCATCTCTCACCCTCCAGATCTACAACCTTTTTTTTTTTTTTTTGAAATGGAGTCTTGCTCTGTCTCCCAGGCTAGAGTGCAGTGGCCTGATCTCAGTCAGCTCACTGCAACCTCTGCCTCCCAGGTTCAAGTGATTCTCCTGCCTCAGCCTCCCGAGTAGCTGGGATTACACATGCCCACCACCGTGCCTGGCTAATTTTTGTATTTTTTTTTTAGTAAAGATGGGGTTTCACCATCTTAGCCAGGCTGGTCTCGAACTCCTGACCTCATGATCTGCCCGCCTCGGCCTCCCAAAGTGCTGGGATTACAGGCGTGACCCACCGCGCCCAGCTGAGATCTACAGCATTTACCAGGCAAATCTAGCACCCAATTCCCAAGGACAATGGCTTGGGACAGTTTGGGCAGGGCTCCACCCTTACATTTGGCAAAGAGAGACATCTGGATTTAACCTTACAGGGCTGAGCTCACGTGTCTATAAGGACAGACTTCCCTGTGGCTCCTGCTCTGTTGTTCTGGTATCTGGCCTGTCTGTCGCCTCTCCACATCAGGCCAGTTAGGGACACTGGAGCCACACATGCATCGGCAGAGAAGGCTGATTCCCTGCAGCCCTGCTGGGAGAGCTTCTGTGCTCGTGGGAGCTGTGCCTCACCTTTGAACCTGTCATCAGAGTCGCTCTCGCTCTCACTGTTTTCATCTGGAAAAGGAACAGCAGAGTACATACTTGCTGGACCCCACAGCCAATGTTTTCTGCTCCCCTACCACCCCAGCTTTTCTCACAGGGGATGGTCTCTACCTTCTCTGGGCCCATGGTCAGGCATCCTGCCTCCAGGGGGCCAAGATTTGAAATGGGAAACAGACTGCAATGCTCAGTGAGTCTGGCCTTTCCTTTTGCAAAAGCCGATTCCCACACCCACCTCCCTACTAAGGCCCTCACAGCCCAAAGTCTGAAGGAACCCATCCCAGACCTTTCTTCCCTCTCTGTTCCTCCCTCCTATGTGGCCATTTCCTGGCAGGGCTCTACCCTCCACAGGCAAATTGATGCCTCTCCCATTCCTAATGCCCAAGGGCCCCAGACGCCTGAACCAGCTCCGGCACCAAAGCCTACCTCTCAGTGATGCTGTTTCAATGCTGGACATAGACAACTTTTTTAATCTCTTCTTTCCTCTCTTGGCATTGTAAATGGAGTTAATTCTTTGGACAAGCTGGGTGAGAAAAGCAGGGCGGGTGAGGTAACCTTAACACCAGCTGCCCCGCTTCCAAGAAGGCTGAGTGGGAGCTCATCCCTGCCCTTAATGGTACAAGATTTCTGCATTGCACCCGCTGGGTCCAGGACCGGTTCTTGGGTGCAGAACCGACCCCAAGTGGTGACTCACCAGCCATGCCTGGTAGCTCTCCATACACCTAGTCCCCCAGAAGTGGTCTCCTGCCCCAACACAAGGACACTAAACTTAGCTCCCCAGAGGAAGGAACTGTGATCAAACTAGACAGGATGGTAGCTCCTGGGTCCCAAGAGTCATTGAACCAACTGAGACAAAGAGCTTCTGAGATGCAATAACAGGAACAAGGATTCTAGCCTTTCCCCTCTGGGCCATAACCTGGGGCCCCGACAGGAAGAATCTAAATTCCCAATATACCCAAGCATTGTTTGCAGGCTAAAAATACCATCTGGCTAAATCCTGCTGCTTTGGGCCGGGGATTTGGGCCTGGCTGCCTATGTGTGAAAATCATTGCTGAAAACTCTTCAATGCTGTGAGTTATAGGAAGAACCCTTGTTTGAGTCCTAGGTCCTTGAAAGCCTGGAAGTGCTTATGTGTGCAGATACCCCAAAATTCATACACCACACTTACTAATGGAGAGCCTTGGCTAGCCTTTCCTTCCTCTAACATCTGAGCACCAAGAATCAGTTAACGCATCTTTATCGATAAGAAAGGATAATTAATCAGATGAAAAAGAGGCCAGTGCACAGACCCAGAATTTATCCAAAGGGAATCGAGGAAGCAGTCCAGATTAGGGAAGGAAGGAAGCTAGGAAGGAGAGAAAAAGGCTGGCTGCCTGCCCGCCCACCTGCCCAGCCCCAGTGGGCTGCCTCTGGGGAGGGTACCTTGGGAATGCGGCGGGCCCGGCGGCTAGACAGCAGCTCGCTGGTGGTGCTGAGGCTGTCTTCGTTGAGGCTGGAGGGTGAGGACGGCAGGCTCAGCTGAGCCAGCAGCAGCATGTCGTCATGGCTGTGCCTCTTGGGTAATCGTGGCAGCCGGTGGCTCTTCCTTTCTGACCAGTTCCCACTGCGCAGGGACTGGCTGTTGGGTTTCAGGGAAAGCTGGCATGGGGGAGAGGACATGTGAGAGGGGCTCGCCACAGAGGCCTTGGCCGGTGCCTCTCGGCTGGGATGGGGACACAGAGGCCAAGGGCTGGTATCCCTGGCTCCCCACAATCTTGCCCTGGAATTTCCATATCTCTCTTAAGACTTTAACTACTAATCAGCCAGGTCAGGGCTAGATTAGATACTTGCCTTCCCTAAAGGAAGCTTCACTACTGCCAGCAAAAAATGAAAGCAGAGGCTAAAAACACCTGTGCTCTTATCTGAATGGAACAAAAAGGCAAAGTGGGAATTTTGGGGGCTCCTCCTGAGCTTTGGGACAAGGATTACTGGGTCTGGGTGATGCAGCCAGTCTTCCAGACCTCTGCCCCTTAGCCAATCCTAAAAGGTTTCAGACAGCAGAGGCCATAACCTAATGGCCAGCCTGCTGGGCTGGGAGATCCTGCAGCCTGGCCCTCCTAACTGCTCCCATGGAGAACACAGGGGCTCTGGGCTCTGAACACCAAAGCTGGGCCAGGCAGGCCTCACACTGAATTGGCTCCCACATTCACAAGGCCCTGACTGCCCTCTTCCCAGCCCTGATCTACTCTCTGCCTCTCGCCATGTGCGCTGACCTCTCAGCCAAGGGCACCATCCTTGTTGTGGACCCTGTGGGGAGGCAAGTATCCCACAGACACCCAACCACTGTCTGGTTCTGGAATTGCCTCTCCTCACTCTTCAGCAAATCCTCCTTCCTCCACAGCCCCCAATTTCCTGTTCTCACCCAATCAATCTGGCAATGCAAACTCAGAGGAAGCCTGTTTGAACAGAGCCCTAATTAGAGGGTAAATCTTTTTTTTTTTTTTCTTTTGAGACGGAGTCTCACTCTGTCACCCAGGCAGGAGTGCAGTGGCGTGATCTTGGCTTACTGCAACCTCCGCCTCCCGGGTTCAAGCAATTCTCCTGCCTCAGCCTCCCAAGCAACTGGAACTACAGGCATGCGCCACCATGCCCGGCTAATGTTTGTATTTTTAGTAGAGATGGAGTTTCACTGGCCAGGCTGGTCTCGAACTCCTGACGTCAGATGATCCGCCCACCTCGGCCTCCCAAAGTGCTGGGATTACATGCGTGAGCCACCACTCCCAGCTATGGGGTAAATCTTTTATAAAAACAAACACCTTATTCCAAAGCCAGAAGAAATCAATTTTATATTATCTGGCCAATGCTATACAGATCCTTCCATTTGCAAAGATAATTAGAGTTACCTGGGGAGGTCAGAGAAGCCTCTCCACCTGCCTCTTGTCATCCTGGACAAGGACAGAAGGAGCTGAAGTCCAAGAGCTTCCTTTGGCTGTTCACCTTTCCTCTCATTCTGCCTTCTCCCCATCCATTCCTTAAAGATTCATGCTTACTCTCTCTCATAGGAGTGGCTCCAGGTGTCACAGACATCTGTCTGGCTCTCCAAATGTGGTTTGGGGGCCTACAAATAGCCCCCTAATGCCAGTACTGAGATGACTTCTGGCAAAGTTGCGGAATGCCAAGACTCCCACTAGGCCCTGTCTTCCTGTTTCCCACAGGGTGATAAATAACCAGACAGGAGACTGCAAGGGCTCCTGGCTGAGTTTTGCAACTCAGAGCTTGTGTAGGAAGGGAAAGAAGATAGGACAGGATGCCCCTCAGAGCAGGTGCCAGTTGTCCACAGGGGTTTCGATATGGTGGATGTCCCTGAGTGCAGACCCCTTTGCTGAGGAGACCTCCTTTATCAAGTACTAGTGAGGGTAAAAGCCTGAATGGAAGCTGGGCCCAAGCCTTGGAAGGGCAGGCCCCTACTGTGGCCCTCACGCTAACCCTACAGGCCCATGTCGGGGTTGAGTTACCTGTGTGGGTGGGCTGTTGTACTTCCTGTCCTGAGGACTCCACATCCTGTGCAAAGAGTCCAAGGAGTTCTCAGACAGTTGCTGGGATTTTCGTCCTGCTCTTCGGTTCTTTAAGTCCACATCCTCATATGGATTCTCCTTGGGCAGATCTCCTGCAGAGGAGGAAGAGTTAGAGAAGGGGGAGAAGGGAAGAAGGAAACACACGAACTCGCACACACACAAATAAACAAGCAGAATTCCTGTGAACCAAAGAGAATGGCTTCTGCCTGGCCCCTCAGCTCATGAGTCATGCAGCTGCCCGTCTGCAGTGGGGAGGCTACAAACAGATCCTGGCTCCAAGTCCAGCAGCAGAGCCCACCCCCCCGCCCCCCGCCACCCCCCCACCCCACCCCCAGCCCAGCTCAGCCTGGCCTCTGCTTTATAAATTCAGGGATTGCACAAGACTGGCTCAGCCACCCCTGCCTGTGCCCAGCCAGAGGACAAAGCCAGCACCAAGAGTCTTTCCTTGGCTCCTTTCCCTCTGCTGCAAACACCCCAAAGAACACAGTTCAAGGTAGGAAGGGTTTTCAGGTCACATGGCTGTCCCTTCACCCAAGGCTCAGGGGATCTCCCTGGGGACCTACTTTGGAGGGTGGGCATGGAGGAACTCACAGAACTGTCGAGAGCAGAGCTTCACCAGGCCCCCCTTCTCACCTACAGTGCCATTCAACAAGTCTCTTAGGGCAGGGTTTTGCATTGTTCACTGAGGCAACCTTGGAACGGAACAGTGATTAGCAAGGAGGAAGTGTTCGGTAATGATCTGTTCAATGACTCTCCTACTGTAGTGTGTCTATTCCCTCTACCGCTGATCTCAGCAAAAAGAGAACCATCAACACTCCCCTTTTGGAATAAACTCTCCTGCTGTGACACAGGGGAGGTGTGAAAGGCTTGGAAGGCGTCTGGGCCAAAGGATGGGGGTGAGGGGAGTTCTTGTTTCTCAGGACTAGTTCTAAAATCTCTGGCAGCGGGCACTGTATTGGCATTACCAGAAAATCTCAGAGAAGTCCAAAACACAATCCCTGCCCTTCAAGATGTTGAGTGGCACTCCTTTCCACAAGCTGTATCTCCTGCCCCGACCCCTACAACACACACCTTTTCTAAAATACAGTAACAACATGGGCCGGGTCAGTCCTAGCTTGATCCTGGTGGCAGAATCCATGGGGTGAACAGGTCCCTGGGGAACTCAGAACACAGCCCTCTCTGTACCCCTTTCCCCATCTTCCTGCTGCACAGCAGGACTCACTCCAGCACCTCTGCTCAGCAGCAGGATTGAGCCTGGGTGACCACCGAGTCCCACACTTGTCCTACAGATGTCTGAATGTGCCTTACGCCCCAGAGGAACTCAGACCCCACTCCTCAGGAAGCAGGCAGAAGGAGGAGCTGGAGGACGAGAAACAAAGGCTGCCGAGAGTGAAGCTTTCCTAGAGAGGGCACAGGAGAAGAGCCAACCCCTATATGCTTGCAGATCCGTCCATTCCAAAGTGGAGCTCCCTCCACATTGAGGCATCAACTTAGGCAGAATCACAATGAACTTAGGAAATGCTCTTTCAGAGTCAGGGGGCAGGTGTGAAGAAGGGATTTCAGTGACAGCTAAATAGACTGCAGTAGGAGTAATATAAATCTCTGTAAACTTATGAGTCAAAGATGGGTCACTGGGATTTGGGAATGGATTAAGTGATTCCCAACTCCAAGCAGAGTCCCCAGCAATGGAGCAGACCTTTTCCTGTAACACAGTCATGCTATTAAAATGACTTGTCTCCATTCCAGAGCCCTGACTAAGCGGAGTTGGCCCAGCAGCCCTGTCGCAAGAAGCCAAATAGCAAACCTGGCACCCCCTGCATGTTTTCTCCAGCCTACCCCACCGTGGGGCACTTAGGGAGGCGTTGGGGATGGATTCTCTACTTCTTGGTCCTTCCGCAACATATGTCCTGCAGGAGTGAGGAGGGGGTGGGGGGACTAAGAAGGGAGAATGCCAGGACACAGTCTTCCTGATCCCCTAAAACAGGACCAGAGCATCACTGTCCACATCAGGGCAGGGAGAACACTGATGCCAAGCTCATCAAATCCTTGGGCTGCATGATCAGCCAGGGCCTTTATTATCATCCTCAACCTATAGGAAGCGTTGTCCCAATCCCAGGGGTTTCTCCAAGCCACTGACATTTGGGGTTGAGTAATTCTTGTTATGGTAGACTGTCCTGTCCATTTTTAGGATGTTTAGTGGCAACCTTGGCTTCTATCCACCAGGAGACATTAGCATCTCCTTAGCTATAACAGCCCAAAATGTCTCCAGACACTGCCAGATGCTCTCTGGGGGGGACAGAGGGAAGAATGGAGGGAGAGAGAGGGAGGCAGGCAGGAAGGGAGGGAGGGAAGAGTGAAGCTGTCCCCCCACTGAGAACCACTGCTTTAGATAGAGCTTTCTAAACTTCCAATGGCTTCTGAGTGTGTGACATGAGTCCCAAGACTAGCCCTCTTTTTTTCCATCCTTTCTTCCTTCACCTCACTCCCTCCTTCCTTCCTTCTTTTCACTACAGTAAGAGCTTTGAATATTGATACAAAATTCAAAGCTCCAAGAAAAAGGTGTAGGATACTGAGGCCCAGGGAAGTAATAGATGTACAAGGCTGGTACACATCACTGACAACCCAGGGGAAAACAGCCAGCAACAGCAGGTTCTCAAGATAGGTCCTGTCTCTGGAAACTCGATTTCAGGAAGACCTGCTCCTGCCCAGCCCCTTGTGCCAGCCTCTCTTCTCCAGCAATGTTTAACATCCTCTCTGATATAACAAAGCCACTAATCAGTTCTCCAGCAAATAGATGGCTGGCCCCAGCCCACACGCTGCCTCCCCAGCCTCAGCTTGGTCCCTTCACCACCCTAACTCATCTGCCACTCCCAGCTTCCTGGACCATTCCTGACTGCCCTGGAGGAGCTGTCTCAAATAGATTGTCCCAGTCATCTCTCTAGGTGGACAGAGGGCCAGGGGATGGAGACGCACAGAGACAAGTGGACCCTGAGTCCTGGACCACTAAACTGAACCAGCTGAGAGCAAATAAATATCAAAGCAATGGCTCAGAGCTGGAGGAGATGGTGGGCTGGGAAATGGTGCGCAGAACATCCTACAGAGGACAGAGCTAAAGGAGCTAGGGCTGAATGGGAGATTCAGCAGGGGCATGAATGGGAGACAGGGAGCCCGGCAGATTGCAAATTTCTACCTGCATTCCTGCCCATACAGCTTTCTTGGGACAGTCCACACAACCCTTGGAGAGGGATGAAGAGGTGGACCCTCTTCCCTGAAGGCCTGGCCCTCAGCAGCCCCAGCTCATCAAGCCCAGCTGGAGAAGCCAGAGGTCTCAACCTTTCCCAGCTTGGATGACGAAATAAGGGACAAAGGCATCACCAAGAATTTCTGCTTTGCACTCTTCTAAAAGGGGTTTGTCAGAGCCCAAAAGTGTCACACTAATCCTCTTAAAGGAAGAATCCAGCCCCTCTGGGCCCTGCTCCCACTCCTCCCCACAACCCTTCACTCCTCCCCATAACTCCTTTGGTCTTAACCACACATACAGCACTCCCACACCCCAACCTAACTGGTAAAACCAGTTAGGAAAGGGGTGTGTATATGCCCATAGGCACTGAGAATTTCTCCAAACACAGTCCTAAGCTTCCTGGACCACACCCCATCACTAGGGTCCTGGGTCTGCAGCTTCCCTCCCCAACCTCCTCTGGTTCCAACCAGCTGTTTCTCCTGGTTCTCAGCCTTTTTCCCTCTCTCACACAGGACAGAAAGGGCCAGGCTAAGAGCCCAGCTCCCCAGCAACAGATCAGATTGGGGCCTCTAAGGGGCCGGCTGTTGCCCACCCTCCAAGACTTGACACCATTTCTCGACAGCCCCGGCACCTTCCCTGGGCTGCACCTCTTGGCTGTTTTGTTTCCCACTGCAACCTCCATCCCAGTGGGTGTCCTCTGCTCCTTACTGTTTCCCAGCCTGGGGGCAAATAAGGGAAGCAACCAGAGACAGTGGAGGCTCAAAAGGCTTTTGCAGTCCAGGCTGACTGGCCTGGTCCCCAGCTTACATCCCACTGAAGTTCTTGGAAACGCTCCCTCAGCCCAGGCTAGCTGATGGGAGTGGGAATCTGCAGGAATGCAGCTCAGGCGCCGAGGCCACTCCACATAACTCCTTAACAAGCTGCTTCCTTGGGTGCATTTTAAGTGTCAGGCTCAGAATGCAAACAAGGCCTTGTAGAATAGCAGCATCTTCCAGGGGCAGATGTCAGATGGGACAGGCGAGAAATAGCAGCCCCAGGAAGCAGCAAGGCAGTAACTTTCTTTCCGAACTCCTTTTCTGCAAGTTAGCAGGGTAAACCTCGGTATTTTGGGAGTACCCCACCCCAGCTCCTCAGGAATCATGCCTAGCGTAGGCAGGAGGCCAGCAAACCCCCCACAACCCCCATTAGAGTTCACTGCTCACAGAGAGACACGTTTGTCTTGGGGCCAACTGGCCCTCCACCTCTGACAGACAGGACTCCAGTCCAATCACCAGGACCCAAGATGGAGATGAGCACTAGGCTCTCTGCCTCCCAACAGCTCCATCCCTGCATGCCTGCAGGAGCCTGATCCAGCAGGGTCAGAGTCATCCTTCACCCCACAGAGCACAGGCTGGGCCCAGACCAGACAGATGGCTCCCAGGAAGTCCAAGCCACTGATCAGTCCGAGGCAAGATGGGAAACTGCCATTCTGAGTTCAGCAATAAGACACCCCCTGAAGCCTTGTGGGGAGCTCCAAACTCTCAGGCCTGTCCCCAGGGAATGAAAAAGAAACCCACCAGAATCTAACAGAAAGGGACTATTTTCCTCTGTATTTCCCTCTGGCCTCCCTAGTCAGGTCCCAGAAATTCAGATTGGGCTGCTGTGGGGACATAAAAAAGGAAAACATGCACAGGGCACTGTCCTAACTGCAGACTCCAGAAACCACCCCCACCACCCCACGAGGCCAAAGCAAAACCTAAACATCCGATGTAGTGTATTCCCAAACTGGTGCTTGGGTCGCTCCCCTCCCTTTCTCCCGCATCCTCTCCCTCTCTTCTTTCCTTGTCCTTTAGGTGTTCCAAAGATCCAGAAGCCAGGTGAGCAGCTACCTCTACCTTTTGCCCACACAGCGCTGACCCCTAGCTGTACTAAGCCACCCAAGAAGCAGCCAAGCTGCTCCCATATTTTTTTAACTCCTCATGCAACCCCAGAGTGGAAGAGAGTCCTCCCTAATGAGTGGGGAGGCCACTCTGTTGCCCCACCCACTCCCTACCTCCTGTTGCAGGGTACATTCTCATTCACTCTAGTTTGGCAGAAACTGTACTGTGTCAGTTTGCTGCCCAGGACACTGGGAGCACCCAGTGTGGCTGCTGCTGTAAGCAGAGAGGACTGTGGTTTTCTGATGTCCCTTGACTATGCTGGGTGCTGGCAAGCCTGTGGTCCTCCCATTCTCTATTCTCTGAGAAGGATTTCCTGTGGGATACGTTCTTGGATCATCTGAATTGAAATAATTTGAGAAAGGGACAGCTTCAACCATTTCTCTCTGTCCAAATTTCCACCATCCAGGGCTCTGTTCAGGATTTTTTGGGGCAATGTTTGGGGGGCAGAATTTTGGAAGAACTCAGCTGGCCAACAGAGCTGTTCCCCAGGCCTTCTTAGGTCAGGTTTGAGAGAAGGGAAAGAGGAGGGCAAGTGTGTCTAGGCCTCTGCCTACTCACTCATTCGGGAGGACTTTCTTCCACTCCAGGATGTTGGTATTGCACAAGGAGGTGAGAAATACAGGAGCAGCACTGGCTGCCTCTTGGGTGGCTGAGTAGAACTGGGGTATGGGCTGGAGTTGGGGCATCTTCCTTAACTGCCCACCTGGCTTCTGGATCTTTGGTTCTGATGCCCCTAGCTCTTGACCTCTGCTCTGGGTCGCCTGTGGGTACAAAGCTGTCTTTTCCCCAGGGATAAGGGAAAGGGCCTCCCTCCCCAAACTCTTTTGCTGTTCTAGGGACCTCACTCCTACAGTCTTCCAGCTGTGACCCAGTTTTGCGTGACTACATACTATACACTCTGTTCCTGGGAAAGCAGTGTCCCTGCAGGTCCCGGCATGGCTGCTGTCTCCCCAGAAACGCTGGCCCAGCAAGTGGCGAGGAAACAGCTATGAAACCGATGGCTCAGATCAAATGAGGGAACAGATGGCCCTCTCTTCATAAGACTCCAGGCTTCTGAGCCAGCCGGGCGCGGTGGCTCACGCCTGTAATCCCAGCACTTTGGGAGCCCGAGGCGGGTGGATCACGAGGTCAGGAGATCGAGACCATCCTGGCTAACACGGTGAAACCCCGTCTCTACTAAAAAATACGAAAAACTAGCCGGGCGAGGTGGCGGGCACCTGTAGTCCCAGCTGCTGGGGAGGCTGAGATAAGAGAATGGCGTGAACCCGGGAGGCGGAGCTTGCAGTGAGCTGAGATTGCGCCACTGCACTCCAGCCTGGGCGACAGAGTAAGACTTCATCTCAAAAAAAAAAAAAAAAAAGATTCCAGGCTTCTGAGAATCTGGAGGGTTCTCTCTACCCCGGGCCACTTCTCTCTCTCATGTATTAACTAACAGCACATTCTTCAGATTCAGGGCCTAAGACAGAGGCAAGACAGGGGCCCAGAGAGGGAGCTGGCAGGCAACACAGCCTCTCTCCTCCCCACTAACCAACACTGACCCCACACTTCACCTGAGCAGAATCAAAGCCCCTTACTGAAGAGGATGCTAACAGAATTGAAATGAACGCCAAACAAACAAAAAAAACAAAACAAATGCAACCCAAGCTAGAGCATCTATCTTTCGTCTGATCCGTGAACACAAGTTTGCCAATACCATGTCTTCCCACCTGTTGGAAGACAAATCTCAATGGAGTCTTGCATTTCTGCCCTTCTTCTGAACAAGAAGAACTGACCGTTCCAGACTATATTTTAAAGGGTATTTATACAGCAAACAGCCTTGGAAGACAGAGATAGTATCTCCCTTCAGGGCAGAGGCAGATTTGTTTCCTGACCAGAATGATAAAGGTAATGTTTTCTCCAAGGACCAAGGTTAGGCAGGTTTGCCAGCAGTCTCTGAAAAGACTGGGGTTTCCTACGCTTGGGCTCCCCAGCTGGGACATGGACCTGCAGTGTCTGCAGCTTCCACCTGGGCCTTCTCCACACCGCCCCATGGGACTTACGCACAAGGGGAAACCCGTGTGAACACGAAGCTCATGCTGCCTGCTATGCCATGAGTAATAAAGTCCTTTGTGACGCAGGGGTCTCATGTCTTCTGCCAGCACCCATGAAACTAGGGCAATGAAACTTCTTAGCTTGTACAACAGACTGAATGTTTGTGTTCCCCAAAATTCCTATGTTGAAACCTAATCCCCAATGTGCTGGCATTTGTAGGTGAAGCCTCTGGGAGGTGATTAGGTCACGTGTGCAGGGCCTTCACCAATTAGGGCCCTTTTAAAAGAGACCCCAGAGAACTCCCTCTGCCCCTTCCACCACATAAGAACACAGAAAGAAGATGGCCATCTCTGACCAGGTAGCAGGCCTGCACCAGACACTCAGTCTTATTTAATTCTAACAACAACCTTATGAAGTATTATTACTTTTTTTTTTTTTTTTTTGGACGGAGTTTCGCTCATGTTGCCCAGGCTGGAGTGCAACGGCGTGATCTCAGCTCCCTGCAACCTCCGTCTCCTGGGTTCAAGCGATTCTCCTGCCTTAGCCTCCCTAGTAGCTGGGATTACAGGCGCCCGCCACCATGCTCAGCTAATTTTTTGTATTTTTAGTGGAGACGGAGGCTGGTCTCAAACTCCTGACCTTAGATGATCCACCAACCTCAGTCTCCAAAGTGCTGGGATTACAGGCATGAGCCACCATGCCCGGCTCAAAATGTTATTACTATTACTGTTGTTGTTAATATAGTCACATCATCATTTTATAAGAGAAAAACAGAGTCTTCACAAAAGTTAAGTGATTTGCCTTAAGGACACACAGCTAAGGAAGAGGGTCTGTTGGACTTCAAAGCCTTCCAAAAATAAAGGAAAGGAATAATGTCGTTTTCTCCTTCTCGTGTCCCCAAAGGTCCTTTGGATTTCAGTTCATTCAAGAGCCAGGCTTTTAATCACAAAGCTGCTCTGTCTTTGCTAAGGTGCTTCGCCCGATGTCCCATTTCCAGGAGGAGTTCCAGAAGGTGGGACCATGCCTGCCCACAGTGAAGGAAGTCAATCTAGGTGTTTCCTCCTGTTCCTGTTCTTCTGTAGCCCCTGAGATGACCCAGCCGCCACCTCTGCCATTGCTTACCCACAATATCTTCATAGGCATTTTCTTCTAAAGTGCTTTTGGATCCAAACTTGGGTTGGTTCTCAGTACCATTCTCAGTGGGAGAAGAGGGGTACAGGGACTGGAGACTGGATGCATCCTCAAACTCAAAGGATTTTCTGTGGATAACAAGAGCAAGAGTCATTCCTGCTGAATCAGATCTCTGCTGCCTTGCTGGGGAATGTCCATGGCAATAGCAAAGACCATAGGCCCTCCTCATAAAGCCAGCTTCTGAAAGAACATCAAGGCAGGTCCAAACTTACCATCCAAATTAAGAGACAGATGGTCTGAAAGGCCCCAGCCTGGGTGCCTGCAATGTGCCTTTCCCGAATAATACGGATATTAGGTAACAACAACTACCCCAGCTTAAAAGTATGCTGTTCCAGGTGCTGCATCAAATGCACCTTTACATGTGTTATCTCATTAATCTTCACAACAGTGCCACCAGTATTGTGACATCTTGTGAAAGAGGAGATGGAAGTGACAGAGGCATGATTCTCCCAGACAATGTCTCACTCCAGAGGCTGAGCTGTTAACTATTAATTTTGGCCTCAAGCCCTAGAGAATATCCTCCTTGAGAAGTGTCTGTGATTACACTGGAATCGAGTGCCTGGTCTGCCTCTGGGGTCTCACATCCTCATCTGCATCCTAGCCAGGGACTCCTGCCATTGCACTAAGCAGGTAGGAAGGCTCAACACTGGGAGGGTCCCACTCAGGGCTGTCAGGGGGTTGGAAAAGCAGTCGTTGCTGGGTGGTTTGTTGAAGCAGGAAGGGCTGAGCCCTTAAAACAAATAAGACCACTGCCAAGGTGGAGCTGGGAGGACAATTTGCAGTCAGAAGCTGCTTCCAAGACCAGCTTCCCTTCAGCTAGTAGTTTGCTCCTTTCCATCCCTTGGACAACCTTCCTCTCTACTGTACAATTTCAAGACCACAGCTTGCTGCCTCCTAAGACTCCCTGAGCCTACAGCACTCTCTGCTCCTCTCCTTCATCTGAGAGGTACATCCCTCATCTGAGACCCCAACTGCATCTTCTCCCTCTCCAAGGCAAGTCCCCACAGGCTCCTGGGGAGGGAGAGAAGGCAAGGCACTGACTGGATCCCTCCTCCCACCCATGAACACCTCCTCTTCTTTCGGGCACCATCAGACCTTTCAGCCAATAGAGGCCTTTTTCTCTTGTTTCCTAACAGCTTCTCCTGAGAGTCCTACCGTGCAGGGAAAGGGCTAAAAGTGTCCTGAAGGCTACAGCTTGTTCTTAGCTTGCCTGTCCCTGCCCTGCCCCAAGCACTCAACACAACCGAACACTCTTTATATTGGCATCTCCTCCCTGTGCCTCTATGACACATTCCCTCCTGGCTTTCAACTTTTCTTTTCAACTCCTGGCCACTACTTTTCAGGCTCTTATGAGGGGTTCTCCTTTTCCATTTGCTTTTTAAGTGTCCGGGTCTCTCAGAGTTCTGTCTTAAAAACTCTTTCTCACTCTGCACTTTCTAGGGACCAAATATCCATGGGCCATTGCCATATCCACCATCTCTATCTTGATGACTCCCAAATTTCTGTCTTTGGCCCAGATTCTTAACTAGATAAACATCCAATGGCTGAGTACAGTGGTTTGCAAATGTTGGCCCAGGACCAGAGTTAGTGTGAGAGCAAGTTTTCTTTGGCATATACAGTAGACTCAGCATCGTATACAGGTAGCCCTCAAGTCAGTAAATAAGACACAAATCATGTTCAGTCAAATTATCCTTGAAAATCCCCCAGGAAGGTGTCATACTGAGGACCAACATGCCATCTCTCATTAAAACTAATAGTTTCTCCCCAGGAATTTTTTTTTTTGGGGGGGGGCTGAATGCCAGAAGAAACACTTGGCTTATATTTTACACACACACACACACACACACACACACACTTTTTTGAGAGATAAGGTCTTGTGCTGTTGCCCAGGCTAGAGTGCAGTGGTGTGATCATACCCACTGTATCCTCAACCTCCTAGGCTCAAGCTATCCTCCCTCCTCAGCCTCCCAAGTAGCTGGGACTACTGGCACATGCCAACACTCCAGCTAATTTTTAAAATTTTTTTGTAGAGATGGGGTCTCATTATGTTGCCCAGGCTGTCTCGAACTCCTGGTCTTAAATGATCCTCCCATTTTAGCCTCCCAAAGTGCTGGGATTGCAGGTGTGAGCCACCTCACCTGGAGTGCATTTTTTTTTTTTAAATAAAAAAGTCTATTAAATGTAAGAATCACACTTGGTATAACAGACACAAACTTACCATCTCCACTCCTCATGGAACGTGTTCACCATGTGAAACGGCATACAGAACAGACTGCACTTCTGGAACTGTTTCTCTTTTTCCAAGAGCACAGATTTAAGTTTGCTAAGTTAATTCTCACACGAAGGGACTCCTCCATATACGGTATATGTGTGTATATATTATATATAAATGCAGTGTGGGGTGGAATATGTGTAAAATCTTCAGGCTGATGAATTCTCCCCCCACTCCCTTTGGTCACTTAGTCAACTGCTTTTGGCTCTTCTAAATTTAGCTCAGCAACTCCCTCCATGAGGAGCCTCCCTTCTCTCCCCCATCTAACTCAGATGTCCCTTCTCTGGGTCTCTGCGGCCTCCTGCACTGCCATGAGTTACGGCACATATGACATTATCTATAATTTATCTGTGCATCAGACCACGAAGTCCTTGAATGGAAGAACCATGTCCTATTTGCCTCTGCATCCTCTTGACCAGCACACTCTTGGTGCACAGCAGGCTCTAGATGAATGTTTATATAAATGGATGAATAAGGACAAAGCAAACACTCCTGGCAGGCCGTTTAAGAATTAAAGAGCCAGTGAGAATTCTGGGGTGGACTCAAACATGGGATTACCCTTAGCCATGGGCTGTTCCAGCTCAGGGGTCTGAATCTTTGAAATTTCTTCCTTTCTGCACATGGCAGGAAAGTTTATATATAAGATGGGATATGTTAGATGAAGCCTGAAGTGTGGGGACAGACTAAAGAATCCCCAGAAGTGAAACAAACCTGAATACCCATCTGTCGTGGGGTTAGATGAGAAAGGCAGTAGGATGTAGGAGGATGAGTATTCCGAAGGAAGCTCACTCCCAGCCTACCCTGATTCAGAGAATAAGACGCCTGCCAGCTTTCACCAATTCCAACAGCTCCAGCTCCAAGTTACTGGGGAGACAGCCCTTGGTAATCTGGGGTTAGAAATCCTGAGACTGACCAGGAAACCACCGTGAGCCTTGGAACAGGCTCATTCCTGTTTTACTCCTTTTTTCATCAATCTCCCCAATAATCCCCTCTTGATATAGGCCCAGGGTTCATATATGGCCCGGAGGCCCAGAGGAGAGAGGGAATTGTGTTAAATTTGCCGATACTACCATGTGAATGACAAAATGCAGTATTCAGATAATGCTTCATTCAAAGAAAATAATTTCTAATGCTGGTACTTCAGGTGGTAGGGAGGCTAAGATCCTACTAGTCTGCAAAGGACTGCCTGCTTTACCTACTCCCAGCAGAGGACTGAGGAAGCTCCGACAGGGGCGGGACACAGCCCAGCTCTACCCCAAAGGCCAAATCCAGCCAATACCTTCAGTGACCAGCACTCAGGTCCCAAGAATCCTGTAAGCATTCCCACTCATGTCAAGTATCTTGTAAGAGCAGAACAATCTCATTTTTCACTACCACAACTACCACCTAACAATTATTCAGTACTTCAGGGCTTACGAAGCACTACTGATTGTGACCCACCCTACAATCTGTGCTTGCACTGTCCATTTAAAATTTAAAAGCAAGCCACGGTATTCAGCTACAACACATCGGAGGCGCATGCATTACCTGCTCTGGGACTTGCGGTGACCACGAATGTCCTTCTTGGGTCTCCGGGTGACAGGCGGGGCTGGGGTGGAGGGCAAGGGGGGTGGAGCAGCAGGTGTGGGTGAAGGAGGTAGACCATTGCTGGGCTTACTCTTGGGGTTCTTGTCAGCCTCGTATTCAAAGGTGCGCTTGGGTTTGGGGACAGGGTTCACAGCGGGATCAGGGGAACTCTTCGATGGCAGCCGCTGGGAGCTAGGGCTATTTCCAGGGATCCCGGGTTTAGTGGAACCACTGCCTTCCCTCTCTGGGGGTGGGCCCGCCTCCCCGCCAACTCCAGCCACTCCGACTGCCCGGCTGCCAGCGCTCACACTCGCGCCCCCTGCCGGCTCCTCCAAGACGCCCAAGGTTACAGTCTTCCTTTTCCCCCGGTCCACGCTGTAGCAGCTGCTGGGGAGCTGGGGGAGCCCCCGGCCTGGCTGCTCCTTCAGGGCCTGTTCAATTTTCTGGATCCGGCTCAGCACTGCTGAGCTCTCCTTCCTGCTGCCATGCCCCCTGAGGAAGGCGCTGGGCTCACTCCGGCCCAGCCGTTTCTCCAGCCGGTAGAAAGAGTCCCGGACAGGGAGTGCCTCTCCCTCCTCCTCAGTCTCTGGGTAGGAGCACTCGGAGAAGGTCCTGCTCATCCTCCGGAGGCCCTTGAAATCAAAGGTCTTTTCTGAGCTGCAGGGGGACGGCACCACGCTGGGACAGCCCAGGCTAGGGCAGTCCTCACTGGCCGCCCACTCGCCCCCAGAGCCCTCCCGCTTCTCTCCACACATGCTCATCCTGGGCGACGCCTCTCGGCGACCTTCCCATGCTGAGATCTTCTCCCGGATGCCCAGGCTGTGGGCGCGGGTACCGGTACGGGTCAGCAAGACGCCCCGGGGGCCAGCCGCTGGCCCCGGGAATGGTGTGCTCTGGGCAAGGGGGAGGCAGGCAGCTACCCCTGCTACATCCTGGGCTGCGCCTTGGACATTCTCCTTCTGGGCTTCTCTCTTGCACGCCGAAGGGCTTCTGTCCAAATAACCGAAGCTGGCGGTCTTGAGGGGACAGGTGGGTGGGGAAGTATCTGGGGAGGGATCTTGAGGATTCTGGGGTGAAGGAGCTGGGGGGTGCCGGTCCTTGAGGAGCACCCGGGAGCTGGAGTGGCTGGGGTACCTGCAGGCTGAGGTTTCACTATCACTGAGTGGGTAGATGGGACTCCTTGGTGGGGAAAGAACTGGAGGTGGAGAGACTGACTGAGACCTGGGGGCAAAACAAAACAAAGGAAAAGAAAAAATGGCAGTGAGTGGCTGACCAACCAGGGGCATCCTGTTTCACTCCTACAGAACTCAGCATCTTTTTCCTGGAGGACTCTCAAAGAGTATTCTATTCAAGTAATGTAACTTGAAGGTTGTCTTCAAGGAGAGCAATAGCTCCTTAATCACAGCAGGCCAAACTCAACAGGCCTCTCTGCCCAAACCATCCCCAAGCACCCTGAGTAATGTCTGAAACACCTGTTCTGTGCCAAGCGAGAGTATCCCAAGAGTCTACATCTGCCAACAGGAGGACAGAAAGCCCAGTGGTGTGCTGCGACATGCTTAACAACCAGTTCTCAGAAGGTGTGGTGGCTCATACCTGTAATCCCAGCACTTAGGGAGGCAGAGGCAAGAAGATCACTTGAGCTCAGCAGTTCAAGACCAGCCTGGGCAACATAGTGAGACTCTGTGTATGGCAAAAAGAGGGGAAAAGGGACCAAAAAACCCAAAACCAAACAAGTTTGAACAACCGGCTGTCTGGGGGCAACAGCAGATTGGTAGCACTTGCCAATGTTGGTAGTATAAATATTCCAACTCTGGCTGAGTTACCAATGTGACGTCATTGGCTGTGGAGTTGAGAAGAGATGCCACTGATCAGCTCTTGTGAACTGGTGCAAGATGGTTCTCCAACACCACTCCCTTAACAAGCCTCTGTCTGGGACTTCTGCTACTAGACATACGTCTCGCTCCTTCATGTTGGGTTCTGACAAGAATTAGAATCCCTGAGGGCCTCAGAAAGGTCAGAAGGGCCCCTCAGGAAAGAGTCTTTTCCACTCTGTCAACGAGGAAGCCAATGGGGTGGGGAGACCAACTCCTTAAGCAGCTCCACCCTCCAGCAGTGGCATCACATCCAATAAGCATCCACCATGTCCCAGCTCCAAATCTACATGCAGATCTTGGCAAATACCAGGAACAGTTCTGAATAAATGTTTTTATATATGTTAACTCATTTAATCTTCCTGAAAATTCTATGAGGTTATTATGTTTATTGTCTTCATTTTACAAATAAAAAAACAGTAAGGCACAGAAAAATTTAATATCTCATCCGAGGTCACTCAGCTGGTAAGTGAAACCAGGACATGAACTTCCACTACACTGGGCTGCCTCTCTGAAGAAGCAGCAGTGCTTCTGCCACTTTCTGAACTGCCAGGGCCCTGAGGCAGCTCTACAGAAATCCCCACAGCACTTGGCACACCCCTGCCACAGCACTTGTAAGTATCAAGGGACTTCTTGGTCTTCCCTACTAGACCATGGTTTCTTCCAGGCCCAGGGACAAACAGTGTTTGGAAGGTGCTCGGTGAACGATGAACAGCAAAAGGAAGGGAAAGGTGAGCTTATTGAAGAGAACCATGAGCATACTTCCTCTTGGGCACACTTTGCTACTTGTCTACTAGTGTAACCACTGTCAACTTTCAGAATTCTTTACAAACAGTTTCAGTTCAAAAACAGCAGGATTTGCCAACACTGCACAGTACAAGGCCTACCTGACCCTAAGGCCGTGGCCCTCAGCTCTGGGCTGCCTAGCCTCTCAGGCTCCGGAATGCCATGCCATCCACAGGAAGGCAGCCAGCTGCCCCTGAGCCAGGCTGCTGTCACTGCTTGCTCACACACAGAAAACTGGAGCTTGGGTGAGTCAGGGATTGGCTGACAATTCCCTGCTGGGTCACAGGCCTCTGGCTGCCCCCTATCAACAGGAAACCTCAACATGCTTAAGTTGTTTTTCAAAGGGCAAGTCAAACAAGAGCCATCCCATGTGTATATGGGCACAGATGAGAGAAATGCAGTGCCCAGCCAAGCCGATGACCAAAGAGGCTCTGCTCAGTGAGGAAGTGTGAACAGAGTAAGCCCCGGCACTCCCTGGGGTAGGGAGCGGCAGGGCAAGGCGCCAGGCTTGAGGCGGGGGGAGATCCCAACTTCCTCACAACTGATGGAGGCCTCATGTCTCTCTTATTTTATAGAACCATAAATACAAAAAGGCCATCAGTCTAGCCCCTAAGTGAATGAGTGCTTGTGCTACACAAAGGACTCTGTTTTAGTTCTCAACTGAAGATGCATTTGACAGAAGACAATTTCATTTGTTTCTTCATTCAACAAATACTTAGTGAGCACCTACTCTGTGCTAGGCCTGTTCTAGGAGCTAGATATAAGAATAAACAAAGCAGACATAAATTCATGTCCTCATGAAGCTTATATTCTACTGGGAGATGGCAGGCACCTAATGAGACTCACAATCTCTTGGGAAGCCTTTTTAAACTATACCTGCCTCACCTGCTCAGGCACTTTGATATGTGGTTCCCTAGGGCTGTGTCTTCCCAGCTGCCCAGGAGAGAATTCACCAGTCCATGGAACCACTGTTACTTATGGTAGTGTGGGGCATGGCTCCTTGGGATAGGAAAATGATTCAGGGCCTCTGGTCCATCTGATCCCAGCATGCTTTCAGAAAGAATGATTCTATAACTTCCCTTAGTGGTTCCAGCACAAATAAATCTACACAGGTTAAGAACTTTCTCTCAATGCCTACCCCACTTGAACTGAGGTTTCATTTCTCTCCTCTCATGCAGCATAAAGTAGAGAGTAAACTGTCCCTTTCCTCTGCAGGTCCTGTCTTTGGTGTCACTGCTGACCTGGGGCCCATAGCTTCATGTGCTACCCTTGCCCCGGCCTCCCAACAGGCCAGGCCCAGTGCACTGCACCACAGAGGAGCTGCCCGTGCTGACTTGGAGCCCAGGAGCCCCGGGTTCATCACAGAGAAGGCACCAGTCACTCACTCCAAGGTCTGGTAAACAATAAAGATAAGGCCCTGCCCTCCTGGGTGTGACATTCTCACTTGAGGGTAGAATTCTCTGTTATCTGTCCGCATGTTCCTGATTCTACCTCTTATTAGCAATGGACTCACACTCTGAACATCCAGTTTCATTTCTTCAAAACCGTTCCACATTTTACATCACAGGGTTGTCATATTGAGCCAATGAGACCACGGATGTGAAATGCTCATTATCATTAGTACTGGTTTTTTTTTTTTGTTTTTTTTTTTTAATCAGGTTATGGCTAGCCAGTCGGTCTCAACAGAGGGTAAGAACATCACAGCCTTGGTGTTCAAGATTCAGTGTAGCCACTTATAAGCTTCATGACTTTGAGCAAGTAATCTTCTCTCCCTAAGCCTCAGTTTCCTTAACTATAAAAAATGGGTGTTGGAAGATCACGTATCTTGGCTGGGTGCAGTGGCTCACGCCTGTAATCCTGGCATTTTGGGAGGCTGAGACAGGTGAATCACCTGAGGTCAGGAATTCAAGACTAGCCTGGCCAACATGGCGAAACCCCGTCTCTACTAAAAATAATAAAAATTAGCTGAGTGTGGTGGCAAGCACTTGTAATCCCAGTGACTCGGGAGGCTAAGGCAGGAGCATTGCTTGAACCCAGGAGGCGGAGGTTGCAGTGAGCCGAGATCATGCCATTGCACTCCAGCCTGGGCAACAAGAGTGAAACTCTGTCTCAAAAAAAAAAAAAAAAAAATCACATATCTCAGAGAATCCCTGTGAGAAATAGAGATAGTACCTGTCAAGCGTTGAGCTTGGGGCCTAACACAGTGTTCCAACTTAGCTTGATAATTACTAATATTCATATGGGGCTGACTCTTCAGAGTAATCACTTGGGAAACTTGGTCAGTTTGCCACTGTCCATGGATCCTGAACATTGTCGGGGCGGGGGGAGGTGGGCGGGGAGTAAATCAAATATGGCCATGAATTCTTGGCAGCTCAAGCTATGGAAAGGTGAAGTCTATTTCTCTGCCCCTCGAATCTGGGTTGATCTTGGTGATGTGCTTTGAGTATAATACAATGTGGTGGTGGAAACTAAAAGTTGTCCAAATTCTAAACTTGAGGCATCAAGAGGCCTTGTAGTTTCTCCCTTTACCCACCTGGAATGCTGCCCTGCCACCATCACATAAGGAAGCCAGTCTAGTCTTTTAGAGGACAAGAGGTCCCATGGAATGTAACCAAGGCACCTCTGTCAATAGCCAGCCTACAACTGTCTGACTCATGAGTGAGGCCACCTTGGACCCAGACCCAGCCGGACACAGCTACATGAGTGCGCCCAGGGGAAACCAGCAGAGGAACCACCGGAAAACCCACAGAAATGTGAGAAACAATCAACTGTGTTAAGCCACTAAGTTTTGGGGTGATTTGCTCCACGGCAGTAGTAAAAAGATGCAGGTGGGAAAGGCCACGCCTGCGTGTCATTGGCCCATCCCATCCCAGTGCAGAGCCACTGCCCTGGCCTTCCTCCCCTACTTCCCCACAGGCCAGCTTAGCTTCCATGGTGTCTGGATTGGATCTCTCTCTCACTACTACAGGCTCTGATGCTCTTATGGGGGCATTCCCTGGAAGTGGAGCTAGTTCAGCCACCCTAAGAATCAGCTTCCATCAGTCTTTGCTCCCAGGCTGAAGGAGGGTCAGGAGAGTCTGTCACCTAGAGAGGGAACACTAGGGAGGCTTCAGGAGGGACACAATGGGGCCAGGTGTCAGGATGTCTGGATCCTCGTAACAAAGAGTTACACAGCAGGTGGCATCCCCTGGCATGGATGGGGGAGAGTGCTCATTCCTGGGCTTCAGTTCCACTCTGTCTAGTTGTTTCCTAGTTCCTCAAACTGAGACTGGGAGGGAAAGTAAGATCATTCTCCCCTGTTGCACAAGAGGAGACCACGGCCATGAGAAGAGCAGGGCCTGGATCCAGGCTGCCTTCAGATGCCACCACGGGAGCCAAGCCACTGAGAGTCTCTAGCTTCACTTCTTCCTGGTTCCTAGGCCAGCTCCTTGCTAGCCTTCTCTGCATCTGAACAAAGGAAGCCACCTATCACCCAGACAACAGTGTGCAACCCCAGCAGGCCGGAGATACATTTTGGCTCTCTATCCATTCAACCAGATACATTGAGCGCCAAGTCTATTCCAG